AGGTTTCAGTCAGCACGAGGGAGTTGACTTCTTTTAGACCTTCGCGCCTACCCCGAAGATGACCACTCTTCGGGTGTTACTGCATGTAGCAGCACAGAGAGACTACGAGTTACACTCTCTCGACTTCTCTACTGCTTTTCTCCAGGGTAGCCTGCACGAGAAGGTCTGGCTGCGTCGTCCCTCAGCCTTCACTGGCACTTTCCCTCCTGGGACCCAGTGGAGACTGAGGCGACCGGTCTACGGTCTCCGTCAGGCTCCTCGTGAGTGGCACGACACCCTTCGTTCTACCTTGTCTGACCTTGGTTTCCAGCCGTCTTCTGCCGACCCGTCACTGTTCGTTCGTCGTGGTTCCACACCGTTCTTTGTTCTTGTCTACGTCGACGACCTGGTTTTCGCCACTGCTGACAGGGTTGCCTTGGCAGACGTGAAGTCCAAACTGCAGAAGAGACACACGTGCACTGACCTAGGTGAGCTGCGCCACTACCTTGGCCTGCAGATCACCAGGGACAGAGCTGCTCGCACCATTACAGTCTCAAAGTCACACATGGTGGAGTAGGTCCTTCAGCGGTTCGGGCTTCAGCACTCCACAGTACAGCGCACACCTCTTGCTGTTGACCACTGACTCACTGGTTCCTTTCCTGACGAGCCGTTTGAGCCTAGTGGTCCCTACGCAGAGCTGGTGGGTTGCCTCATGTACCTGATGACCTGTACTCGCCCGGACCTCGCCTTCCCTCTCAGCATCCTTGCTCGCTTTGTTGCGCCAGGGAGACACCGTCCTGTTCACTGGACGGCAGCTGTGAGGGTGGCGAAGTACCTAGCGACGACATCAGGCGTGGGGCTGGTTCTTGGAGGGCAGCAGTCTGTCGTACTTACTGGTCACTGTGACTCTTCTTACGCTGACGACGCTGAGACTCTCAGGTCTACTCAGGGGTACTGCTTCAGTCTGGGTTCTGGAGCTGTTTCTTGGAGGTCCACGCGTTCCTCCTCGGTCTCGACCTCTACCGCTGAGGCTGAGATCTACGCTGGTGCCATGGCGGCACAGGAGCTGCGTTGGTTGACTTTCTTGCTCGCCGACCTTGGTGAGCGGCCGAGCTCTGCACCGACCTTGTTCACTGACAACAAGGCGTCGATTCTCCTCTGTCAAGAGCCGCGACTGGAGAGCAGAGTGAAGCACATTAACGTCAGGTACTTTCTTCTGCGAGAGTTGCAGAGACGTGGACAGGCTCGCTTCGAGTTTGTGGAGTCCGAGGCCAACACTGCAGACATCTTCACCAAGGCGCTTCCGCCTTGTGACCACTAGAGGTGCTGTGTGCAATTAGGCCTTGTTTACACAGGTTTTAGTCGTGTGTAGGCTTGAGTTTACTGTTTGCTTTGCTTGTACTCTTGCCATACACCTATGTGAACTCTTGGACTGGCCTTGTGGCCTCTGTTGCTTGTGCTCAGAGTGTGTGGTGACGTTGTGATCCACCATGGGCTTTGTTCCTTTGAGACTGGTCTTGAGACCGTACACCTTTGGTTTTGTGTGACACCCCTCACTTAGGCTATGGGGGTGTGTCAAATGTTGTAGCCTATAGTGAGGTTTGTCTTAGGGGGTACAAATGTTAGGGTTTGTTATATGTACCCCAACCTGCATCAATGAAACCAACACTTTCGATTCTGACATCTAGCACCTGTAATAATTACTCAGGCTCCTTGATATGTATTCCATAAGTCTCTGAAACAGAACTTGCACTGAAGGAGGAATGACATGTACAAATAGGGAACCCTGAAGTAAGACCCAGGTGTAACTAACACATTTGACACATCCTATTAAAGAGAGATTTATTGTTCACTTAAACATAATTTTCCCAACCCATCCAACTCATCCACCATCTCATCTTCCAAAATTTCCAAGTGTCATGTGGCACTCTAGCTTTCTTGCCTTCTACTTTCTAGTCCCAAGCACTACTTTCCGACATTCGCTCTTGCATGCTATATCAATTTTGCTTGTACTTGCCAACAGGGGCATTTGTTCAAGGGTAAAATACCCTGATCGTCCTTTCTAAAATCCATTTGTTTACGTTTACCCTGATTTTGAAAGGGTTGGCAATTTTGTACCCTTTTTTAAAAAGTGTGGAGTTTTTTCTACCCTGTCAAAATCAATGTGCGCTCACTTTTACCCTTACGTGTTTGAGTACCTTGGCCTATCCCAGCCCCACTCTCCCCAATTCCCTAGCACCTCCAGCACAATTCTCCCCATTTCTCGCACTTCTCCCAACCGCCGAGCCCCATTCATCCCACATCCATCGCCAATCCCCGCTCAACTCCCCTTGTTTCCTTCGCATCTCACAGCCCCTCCCCACAATTCCCTCTCCACTCCCAGCCCCAATACCCCCATTTTCGTTACAAATCGAGGTGCTCAAAAGTTTACCCTGATTTTGACAGGGTGGAAGAAAAATTACCCTAACAGGTAGGGTGACATCATCAAGGCACCCTGATTTCCAAGAGTGCCCCAAAACCAAAAATAGGCCCTGCTTGCCAATATCAACCATTTCTCAACCAATTCTCATTCAACTATTCAGTTATTTAGTGACCTTTTCTCCTATTTCGCCAATAGTTTTTTTCGCCAAAGTCTTCCGCCGCGTTTCCTCATCGACTTAGTCGACCCTGTTAATTGTTTATCAGACCTAGGCCAGCGGGCCTAACACTTGGTATCAAGAGCCTTCGCGGGGAGCGACTTCCAACGAGCGGCCGTCGACGACGAAACGACGACGCCATCGTCCCGCGGTGCCGACTTGCAGACTTGGAGTCGTCGAGCGAACATGGACGAAACTATGAACGCTCTCCTCCACGACATGGGCAACACGCTCACGCTTGCCGACCTCATGCGCGAACTCGAACAATTGACGTTGGAAAATCGTCAGGTACGAGCTGAAATACAATAGCTTCACAACTTCGCTTCTAACCCCCATGGTCATGCTGCACCAACTCCTGCACCCACCTCGTCGACTTGCGCGGAAGCGCTATCGGAATGTCGAAGCGCACTCAAGCTGCAGAAGCCCGAGCCGTTCGACCCAAGTCAACGCGACGCGAACGTGCGGACGTGGCTCTTCATGCTCAACAACTACTTCGCCGCGAGCGGGGTGCAAGAGGCAAACGCGCAGCAGCAGATCGAGTACGCTGTAAGGCTGCTGAGGGGCCCGGCCTTGGAGTGGTGGACGCAGACTGCTGTACGGAGGGCTCAGTTAGACGGGCATCAACAGGGCGTGGGGCACACAGCTGCAACTTCGAGCTTAGGAAGTTTAGCTTTGGGTGTTACCACGGTTCCGATGACATTTGAAGGGTTTGAAACAGCGCTGAAAATAGTGAACGCTTCCGAAGCTGCTAGGAAGCGTCTGCGTCATTTCCGACAATTAGGAAACGTCCTAGAGTACACACGACGGTTCTTGAGCATCTGCAACGAGATCGACGATATTAGGGAAGCAGAGATGCGTGATTACTACCTCGAAGGATTGAAGCCGGACATAGCGGAGATCATAGCCATTCATGGGTTGTCCACCTTCGAGTCAGTTGTCGCAGCAGCAGAACGCGTCGACACAGTATGAAGCCGATGAGGTCGTGACGATCGTGATAGGCGATACAGAGATCCGGTAAAGGACGCTCGATTGAGGGACGGGCCGTCGCCCATGGAGATTGGTGCAGTTAACAGTGACGGCTCACAGCGAACGGGTTTTAGGGGAAACTGTCAATATTGCAAAAAGCCGGGTCACATGAAGCGGGACTGCCCACAGTTCAAGAAGCGGTAACAGGGAAACGGAAACCGCCAGTAGATAGCGGGTCGCTAGCTGGTGTGGAGGTTCCCGTACCCGCCACGTCTACCAACGTAGAGGAGACGATCTCGCAGCAATCATATACGGAGAACCAGGTAGACACTGTTGATCAACCAGTCGTGCTTCTAGGGAGGCTTCGCAGAGTTCCAGTCAAGATTCTCATAGAGAGCGGAGGTAGCCACTCGTTCGTTTCGTCTTCATTAGTTAGTCGTCTCCATCTCGAAGCAGATTCGCTGTCAATTTCAAGGACGCTCGCATGGTAGATGGGACGCCACTCCACATAGGACCAATCATTCTTGAGTTGCGCGTACTGCTAGGAACAATCACAATTAGATGTGACTTCGACTATGCGACACTAGACGGCTACGACTTCATCTTCGGTAGAGATTGGTTGCGGACGGTTTCGACTCAGTTCGATTGGGCTCAGGGAAGCTGCAGCGTCAAGGTAGACGGGGAGTTCCGGGAGCTGCCACAGTGGAGCGATGGGGCCACATCATCCACAGCTATCATCAATGTTGTTCGTGTGCAACAGTTGGTGAAGCGAGCGGCACGGATCTTCACAATTTTCCTTGACGAGGTGGAAGCTAAGAAGGGGAAAGGAGGGAGTGCAGCAGTTAGTGAAGAGACGACTCTTCCCGCTGAAATGAGTGCACTGTCAGCAGAGTTTGCAGACATCTTTCCCGACGAGTTGTCCCCAGGGTTACCTCCTAGCCGATCAGTCGACCATCGAATAGAGTAAGAGGCGGGGAGCAGGCCAGTAGCGAAGCCGCAGTGGAGGTTAAGTCAAGCAGAGACAGAGGAGATGACGAAGCAGGTTAGGCACTTCCTAGCACAGGGGTTCATACAGCCATCTGTATCGCCTTAAACAACACCGATCCTTTTCGCACCCAAGAAAGATGGAGGGTTACGGATGAGCATAGATTACCGCGCACTGAACGCCGCCACCGTCAAGAACAGATTCCCGGTGCCGAGAGTAGAGGATATTCCAAATGCAGTGCAGGGCGCTAGAGTCTTCTCCAAGATCGACCTTCGTTTAGGCTACCATGAGATTCGCATAGTTCTAGAGTACCAGCACAAGACGGCATTTCGTACGAAGCAGGGGCTTTACGAGTTTAGGGTTCTACCGTTCGGACTGACCAACGCCCCAGCGACGTTCCAGACGCTTATGAACACCGTCCTCTCCGAGATCCTATGTTCGTTCGTTGTCGTTTACCTAGACGACATCCTGATCTTCTCCAAGTCGAAAGAGGAGCACGTGCAGCACTTAGAAAGGGTCTTCGAGGTCTTGTAAAGGGAGAAGCTGTACGCGAAGCAGTCGAAGTGCGAGTTCTTCCTTCGACAGGTCGAGTTTCTAGGTCACTTCGTATCCGCTAGTGGCGTTAGGACCGAGCCAACGAAGATCGCAGCCGTACAGGATTGGGTAGCACCGACCTCATTCAAAGAGTTATAGAGCTTTCTCGGATTTGCGAATTAGTACTGTCGTTTTGTTCAGAGTTACGAATCAATCGCTAGTCCACTCATCGACCTACGTCGGAAAGGCGTAGAGTACGTTTGGGGTCCAGCGTAGTAGCAGACGTTCGAGCACATGAAGCAGTCGCTCGCATCTTCACCGACGCTGTCGTACCCTGATTCCACTCGCCCATACGATGTAGTGACCGACGCATTAGACCAAGCCATTGGAGCAGTGCTTCTTCAGGACCAGGGCCGCGGGTTGCAGCCGATCGCGTACGAGTCACGTAACTTTAGGGGAGCGGAGCTGAACTTTCCGATTCACGACAAGGAGTCGCTCGCGATCATCCATGCGTATAAGGTGTGGAGGTGCTACCTAGAGGGGGCAGATAGTGTTATACGCACGGACCACTGTTCGCTTCGCTTTCTCAAGTCGCAGCCACGCCTGAGTCGTCGCCAGGCTAGATGGATGGAGTTCATGGAGGGGAGCTTTCATTACAGGATAGAGTACAAGCCAGGCGTGCGCAACCCAGCAGATCCGCTCACTCGCCCTAGTTGCCGTCTCGCTAGTCTCACAGTCACTGCAGGCCATCCACTTCTCACAGCACTCTTCGAGCACGGTTACACTGTAGATCCCGACTTCACACCGCAGCCGCCCGCAGGAGCAGAGGTGCAGGGTAGTGTCTATATATGGAAGGGTACAGCACGGATTTGGGTTCCAGCCTACCGCCCTCTTCAACAGCTACTTCTTTCCGAGGCGCACGATGTAGTTAGCGCGAGTCACTTTGGAGCACGCAAGACGGCTAAGACGCTTAGTCGCACGTACTTCTGGCCAGGGCTTGCAGCAGACGTAGAGGATTACATTCGCTCGTGTGACACGTGTCAGCGTACGAAGTCCTCTCGCCAGCGCAAAGCAGGACTTTTGCAGCCGATTCCACCGCCCGACCGCCCACGGCAGGTAGTTAAGATGGATTTCATCATGGCATTACCGCGCACAGTTAGGGGTCACGACGCCATCTTCGTTGTAGTCGACAAGTTTTCTCGAGCAGCGCACTTCATCCCCACGCACGGCCAGGTCACAGCAGAGGAAGCCGCGACATTGCTCGTCGATAAAGTAGTCCGACTGTACGGGGATTCCATCATCTCAGACCGCGACCCCAGATTCGAATCGAAGTTCTGGAAGCAGCTTTTTGCACTGTTTGGGACTCGCTTAGCCATGTCGTCTGCGTACCATCCAGAGATAGACGGTCAGACCGAGCGCGTGAACCAAACATTGGAGCAGATTCTTCGCAACATCACGATGCGCGATGCCACCGCATGGGACAAGAAGCTGAGCATGGCCGAGTTCGCATACAACAACACGCACCACACAGACATGCCACCGTTCTTCGCACTGTACGGTCAGCACCCCAATGTCCCCACTCGTGTCGATCTCACACCCACTGTCCCTCGTGCGGACAATTTCCACCAGCATCTTACCTTCTCACGACCACGTGAGGATGCACCTTGAGCTCGCAAATGCACGCATGGCACGCACCACCAACCGCAGTCGTCGTGGGGTGTCATTTTTTGTTGGGGACCGTGTCCTTTTAGACAGCCCCAACCTCCGACTGCCACAAGACAACAAGCTTCGTCCACATTTCATTGGTCCATTCGTCATTGAGCGCGCACTAGGTCTAGTCGCATACCACCTCCGCCTTCCCACTCATTTCCGCATAAACCCGTCATTCCACGTGTCTCTTCTTCGTCCTTACACCGATCCCAACACAACTTTCTCGGGCTGTGATCGCACTCCACTTCCGGTAGCTGTTGACACCGACAAGCCCGACTACCAGATCCAACGCATTCTCAGGCACGTCCCTTTCATCGACTTCTTGGTTCGTTGGCGTGGTTACGATGCAGCCGACGACAGCTGGGTCCCTTCATCCTCACTGTTTCCCGACAACGCTTGCCTCCAAGCGTACCTTCAGTCTGCAGGCGCCGCGGACGTCGCCTCCTTGGGAGGGGGGTAGTGTTAAAGGGGGATTTACTGTTCCCTTTGAACAGTACTTTCCCAACCCATCAACTCATCCCCATTTTATCTTCCAAGATTTCCAAGTGTCCAGTGGCAATCTAGCTTACTTGCCTTCTACTTTCTAGTCCCATAAACTACTTTCCGACATTCGCTCTTGCATGCTATATCAATCTTGAAAGTACTTGACAATATCAACCATTTCTCAACCAATTCTTATTCAACTCTTCAATTACTTAGTAACTTCTTCGCCTATTTCGCCTATAGTTTTTCGCCAAAGTCTTCCGCCGCGTTTCATCCTCGACTTAGTCGACCCTGTTAATAAATATATTACTCTATGTGATTGCATGTATCGCTAGTAGTGTAGGGCCTTGGTGGTATACCCCCCTTTGCCACCTTTCCTATATCTTGTACCTCGCTCCATATTGCAACCCCATTCTTTGGCCAAACCTCTCTCTAATCCTAGCCACGATGGTTCCTAAGCCATAGGACTTATCTTGACATGGTATTCAGTGCAGGCCGTTCCTAGGCCTTGTTTTATGACCGTCATGGTGGCGAGATCTGTCGCCCCATGTCGTTTCGTCGCCCCACGGCCCCCGCGTCGCCCCGCACCGTTTCGTCGCCCTGCGGCCTCCCCCGTCGCGCCCCTGGTTCGTCTCTCCCATCCCGCGTGTTACCCCGTCGCTCGTGGCCCCGCCACCCCGCCGCTGGCCGTGAACGCGAGCACCGACGCCAGCGCCCGATGCGGACGCGGACGCCAACGCCAGGCGCCAGCGCGAGCGCCAACAGCAGCCCCCCCCCCCCCCCCCCCCCCCCCCCCGCTCGCCGCCGCCGCCCTCCCTTCCGCGGCTTCCGTCGTGGGGGGGTGGGGGGAGGGGGGAGGGGGAGATGTGGGAGTGGCGGGTGTGAGCAGCCTGCAGCCCGTCCCTCCCCTCCCTCTTCCTCTCTCCCTGCAGCACTTGTTGATGTGGAGGGGGGAGGAGAGAGGTTAAAGGGGGAGGATAGAGAGGTTAAGGGGGTGGAGAGAAAGAGAAAGAGAGAGATACATGGGCATTTCATGTCGTTTCTCGTTCAGTTTCTATCCGTCGTCTCAGGGAGTTGTCGCCCCTCGTCTCGCTTACCGGACATCCACTGCGGGGGTTAAACCGCAGGCGAGTATCCTATCGAAGGACCCAGCTGGTTCTAAGTGTATGGGGGACGCATCACACAAGATTACTGTCTTGAGGGCGCAGTACACATGATGCCCAACCGCTGCACGCGAATTTGGTCTGTACCTTTTAGAAAGCCTGCACCCTGTTTTTTTCTACCAGCCAGTTGCACCCTCGTTACAAGCACCTCTCGCAAGTTGCAGTGATTTTGAACCCATAGTAATGAAGAAACCGATGTCAAACTGAAGAGAACGAAGTCAAATGTCAAGGGATAGGCTACAAAGTTTTTTATAAGCATGAACGAATCCTTTTTTGCTAGCTGCGAATTGACGAAATCCTAACGAAATGCAAGAAACAATTAAGCGCCCTCTTTACAAGGCAACCATGGGTGACTCAAACGAGCATCAGGTGACTCAACCATGGCTCATCGACATGTCTCCGGCCCCCTGTCTCCATCACTTGTAGCGATGTTCTAGCTCCGCTCTTGATGACTGGTGGACTGGTTTTGCTGTTTTCGTTTCAAGGCTTGCTTCTCAAGCCTCTAGCTTCTCGACTGCATTCTAGAGCTGTAAGCAGATACCGAAAACAATAAAATGAACGGAGGAAGATAACAACGATCTTCTTGTGCAGTAACAGCCATCTTCGTCAAGGCCAGGTCAACGTCGCGGTCCGATATTCTCCCAGTAGCGTATCCTCGAGGTCCTGACCCGTTAATAACGCTTCCCATTAATTTATGTTCCCGCTCCCAGTCTCGCTCCCTTGAGCCGTTTGCCCCAGTCGTTCCGCTTTATGGTCTAAAATACGGTCTTGAAAAAACAGTTTTATGACAAATCTTAAGCACCACTTGCGTCGCTGCACTGCGTAGCCCCGCATTACGAATGTGTTAGGTTAGCTCGTCTTCATCCGCGCGCTCGCGTTGTAAAAGAAAGTTTGTAAGACGTCTCAAAAACTCCCTTTTATCAGGTGGCATTCCGAACGTGTTAGATTAGCTCGTCTCCATCCGCACGCTCGCGTTGTGTCTGTTCTAGACACGTCGTCGAGTACTGCTGCGTACCCTCCCTGCTGCTTCACCAGTTGACTTACTCCCCCGTATGACCTGCCTCCAAGTTGACCTGCCTCCCAGTGGACCCTCCTCCCAGTCGGCCTGCTCTTCAATTGACCTGCAAAAACAGGGCCACGGGCCAGGGCGTGGCTAATACAGCAGTTTCATTGGGACTTGTGCGGAACCCTACTGTCCAGTTTGCCTTCCGTGCAAAACTTTAGTGTAACCAAGCCCGCTGTTCGTCAAGGCATGTGCGAAACCGTAGGGTAATCAGTTCGTTGCTCGAGAATGTGCCGACTTATTCACACAGAGGGCTATTTCCACTAGTCGTGTGTTGGTGCGATGGGATCAGCGTGCTTTAAAGCCCAAAAAGGGGCGGAAGAGGGGGAGAAACAGCAGAATAAGCCCAGGGAAGAGCAGCGGCTGCAGGCACAAGCCGAGTCTGGTCAGTCCCAGCAGCAGCAGCAACCGCAGCAGCAGGAGGCGGAGGGAGGAGAGGCAGAGAAACGGCAACAGGAGCAGCCACAATCTGACACGCAAAGACGAGCGTCCGATGGTGCAGTGCGTGCGGATCAAGGGCCTGGGAAAGCCCAGCCATCCGAGCAGCAGCAGGCCGCGCATGGAGACAGGGGAGCGGAGAGTAACGGAATTCCAGGTAAAGTCGAATGTTTGAAAGTCTAATAGGAAAGTTCCCCACTTTCTCTCCCCCCTTTCCCTTCCGCCTGTTTAAATCTGTCATGAAAACGTCCTCACACTCACGACCATTCTGACGTGCCAGTCCAGATGACAAATTTGACCTCCCATTTTCATCTGCATGCGGAACAGCAGCTTCGCAACCTCTCCCCCTGCTCACATTGCGTCCAGCGCGCCACCCCTCGTGCTCACATTGCGCCCCCCCCACCACTCCCCCTTGCTCACATTGCGCCCCCCCCACCACTCCCCCTTGCTCACATTGCGCCCCCCCCACCACTCCCCCTTGCTCACATTTTCGTTCCCCCCACGGCTCCCCCTGCTCACACTGCATCTCCCGCACCAACCCCCCTTCCTACATCGCGTCCTCCCCCCCCCCCCCCCCCCCCCCCCCCCCCCCCCCCCCCCCCCCTCCCTCTTTTCCCCTCCGCTTCTCCCCTCTTGTCCGCACTGCGTCTCCCTCACCAACCTGCATGACCATTCTGTTTCTCCCCTCTCTTCCCCTGCGGTGACTTTTGAGTCGACTCAAAAGTCACTGCGTCTCCCTCACCACCCTGCATGACCATCCTGTTTCTCCCCTCTCTTCCCCTGCCACTGCTGTTTTCTTCCACCAACCCTGCCAGTCCACCCCGCTTTTCCCCTACCACTCCCCCTGCCCAACCAGTCTCTCATCCATCTCCCCGCTCCCTTTCTTGCTTTCACAATATCCCCACATGCCTTTGCTCCTCCCATTTATCTCCATCAATCTCATATGCTCTTGCCCCCATCCAATCCTGTCCTCCCACCTTGATCCGCAGCAGGACCAGAAGCACCACAACCCCAACCACAACCACAGTCACAAGCACAGCCCCAGCAAGTTTCAGCGACAGAACCGTCAACAGCACCAGGTTACAACAGTGGTAACAGCAGCAGCAACAACAACACCAGTGGCGGTGGCACTGACAGTGGTAACGGCAGTGGCAAGGCAGCAGCAGGGCCTGGGTTTCGACGAATGGCATTGGAGGAGCTAATGGCAGCTACCAACAATTTTAGGTGAGTTGATTGTTGTATGAGGCTGCAGTCTGTACGCGCTATACAGTTTCTGCAGTGCTTCACAGGCGAATGACACTGGAGGAGCTGATGGCAGCTACCAACAAATTCAGGTTAGGTGTGTTTTGCAGTGTGCTGCACTCTGTACGTATTACAGGGTTGCTGCAGTGCCTCACAGGCGAATGGCACCGGAGGAGTTGTTGGCACAATTCTAAGTTTATTCAGTATTATTGCATCAGGCTGCACTGTGTACGCGTTATAAGGTTGCTGCAGTGCCTGACAGGCAAATGGCCCTGGAGGAGCTGATGGCAGCGAATGACTCTCCCTCCCTCCTCGCTGTTTCCCATCTCACCTCACCCCAATTTGCCCTGCCTCCCTTCCTTACCCCTCCCAGTGAGAAGAACGTTGTATCAGAGGGCGGCAGGCAGGCACTGAACGTGGTGTACCGAGGTGTGTTGGGGCCAGAGGGGCTGCAAGTGGCAGTGAAGCGGTTCCAGAAGAAGGAATGGGAGGACGCTCAGCAGTTCGCGGTGAGTAGTGGATTTGTGTGTGGTTGGTAGTGGTAATGTAGTGTATTTGGTGGTGCTGGGGCCAGAGGGGCTGCAAGTGGCAGTGAAGCGGTTCCAGAAGAAGGAGTGGGAGGACGCTCAGCAGTTCGCGGTGAGTAGTGGATTGTGTGTGGTTGGTAGTGGTAATGTAGTGTATTTGGTGGTGCTGGGGCCAGAGGGGCTGCAAGTGGCAGTGAAGCGGTTTCAGAAGAAGGAGTGGGAGGACGCAGAGCAGTTTGCTGTGAGTGCCCTGTTGTGGTTGTTTGGTAGAGTAGAGAGAGGGTTTGCTGTATGTAGTGTGCTTGGGCGTGCTGGGGTTAGAGGGGCTGCAAGGGGCAGTAAAATGGTTTCAGAAGAAGGAGCAGGAGGACGCAGAGCAGTTTGCTGTGAGTGCCCTGTTGTTGTTGTTTGGTAGAGTAGAGAGAGGGTTTGCTGTATGTAGTCTGCTTGGGCGTGCTGGGGTTAGAGGGGCTGCAAGGGGCAGTAAAATGGTTCCAGAAGAAGGAGCAGGAGGACGCAGAGCAGCAGTTTCCAGAATTTCACTAGAAACTGTTGGAAACCCAACAGGAGGACTAGCGTCCCTCCTTTTGAGTCGACTCAAAAGTCAGGAGGACTAGCTTCCCTCCTTTTGAGTCGACTCAAAAGTCAGGAGGACTAGCTTCCCTCCTTCCTGCCCCCACCACGTACCCAACAGGCAGACGCGACAGCAGTGGGCAGGGCAGCATTCAGTACCCGGCACTAGGGGTGAGCAAGGGGCGAACACGAACGTGTTCGCGTTCGCCCCTGCACGAACACAGCTGTTCGCCGAACCGAACAAGGGTGTTAGGTGTTCGCCTGTGAAGGTGTGTTCGGGCGAACCTCGAACACGTTCGTGTTCGACGCGGGGCAAATTGCAGCAGCGGCCCGAACACGAACGTGTTCGGGCGAACCTCGAACACGTTTGTCACGAACACTTTAAGCAAAAAAACAAACCTGTTCGGTTCGCCTCGAACGTGTTCGAGGCGAACCGAACAGGTGTTCGTTTATTTGCTCAGCCCTACCCGGCACTGCTAGACTTTTGCTTTCCCCTCATCGTAATGTCTTTCTCTCATCCGTGGCCTCTCCTCCCCACCCACCCCCCCCATCCCACACCCAACAGGCAGACGCGACAGCAGTGGGCAGCATTCGCTTCCCAGGGCTCACATCCCTGCTGGGTTTCTGTCTGCCTTCCCCGCTTGTTTAACGCCTTCCGTCCCCTTCCCCACACACCCAACAGGCAGACGCGACAGCAGTGGGCAGCATTCGCTACCCAGGTCTCACATCCCTGCTGGGTTTCTGCTGTGAGGGCGAGCACAGACTGCTCGTGTCTGACTTCATGCCCAACTGCACGCTCGCCCAACACCTCTTCCACTGTAAGCAGCCGGCATCCGTGGCAGTTTGGGACTGTCCGATGCATCCTGTGTTGTATGAGAGTAGATTGGTATCCGCTGCTGTGACGGCTGCTGGGTTTCTGCCGTGAGGGCTGCTGGGTTTCTGCCGTGAGGGCTGCTGGGTTTCTGCCGTGAGGGCTGCTGGGTTTCTGCTGTGAGGGCTGCTGGGTTTCTGCCGTGAGGGCTGCTGGGTTTCTGCTGTGAGGGCTGCTGGGTTTCTGCTGTGAGGGCTGCTGGGTTTCTGCCGTGAGGGCTGCTGGGTTTCTGCTGTGAGGGCTGCTGGGTTTCTGCTGTGAGGGCTGCTGGGTTTCTGCTGTGAGGGCTGCTGGGTTTCTGCTGTGAGGGCTGCTGGGTTTCTGCTGTGAGGGCTGCTGGGTTTCTGCTGTGAGGGCTGCTGGGTTTCTGCTGTGAGGGCTGCTGGGTTTCTGCTGTGAGGGCTGCTGGGTTTCTGCTGTGAGGGCTGCTGGGTTTCTGCTGTGAGGGCTGCTGGGTTTCTGCTGTGAGGGCTGCTGGGTTTCTGCTGTGAGGGCTGCTGGGTTTCTGCTGTGAGGGCTGCTGGGTTTCTGCTGTGAGGGCTGCTGGGTTTCTGCTGTGAGGGCTGCTGGGTTTCTGCTGTGAGGGCTGCTGGGTTTCTGCTGTGAAGGCTGCTGGGTTTCTGCTGTGAGGGCTGCTGGGTTTCTGCTGTGAGGGCTGCTGGGTTTCTGCTGTGAGGGCTGCTGGGTTTCTGCTGTGAGGGCTGCTGGGTTTCTGCTGTGAGGGCTGCTGGGTTTCTGCTGTGAGGGCTGCTGGGTTTCTGCTGTGAGGGCTGCTGGGTTTCTGCTGTGAGGGCTGCTGGGTTTCTGCTGTGAGGGCTGCTGGGTTTCTGCTGTGAGGGCTGCTGGGTTTCTGCCGTGAGGGCTACTGGGTTTCTGCTGTGAGGGCTGCTGGGTTTCTGCTGTGAGGGCTGCTGGGTTTCTGCTGTGACGGCTGCTGGGTTTCTGCCGTGAGGGCTGCTGGGTTTCTTCTGTGAGGGCTGCTGGGTTTCTGCCGTGAGGGCTGCTGGGTTTCTTCTGTGACGGCTGCTGGGTTTCTGCCGTGAGGGCTGCTGGGTTTCTTCTGTGACGGCTGCTGGGTTTCTGCCGTGAGGGCTGCTGGGTTTCTTCTGTGAGGGCTGCTGGGTTTCTGCCGTGAGGGCTGCTGGGTTTCTTCTGTGAGGGCTGCTGGGTTTCTGCTGTGAGGGCTGCTGGGTTTCTGCTGTGAGGGCTGCTGGGTTTCTGCTGTGAGGGCTGCTGGGTTTCTGCTGTGAGGGCTGCTGGGTTTCTGCTGTGAGGGCTGCTGGGTTTCTGCTGTGAAGGCTGCTGGGTTTCTGCTGTGAGGGCTGCTGGGTTTCTGCTGTGAGGGCTGCTGGGTTTCTGCTGTGAGGGCTGCTGGGTTTCTGCTGTGAGGGCTGCTGGGTTTCTGCTGTGAGGGCTGCTGGGTTTCTGCTGTGAGGGCTGCTGGGTTTCTGCTGTGAGGGCTGCTGGGTTTCTGCTGTGAGGGCTGCTGGGTTTCTGCTGTGAGGGCTGCTGGGTTTCTGCTGTGAGGGCTGCTGGGTTTCTGCCGTGAGGGCTACTGGGTTTCTGCTGTGAGGGCTGCTGGGTTTCTGCCGTGAGGGCTACTGGGTTTCTGCTGTGAGGGCTGCTGGGTTTCTTCTGTGACGGCTGCTGGGTTTCTGCCGTGAGGGCTGCTGGGTTTCTTCTGTGAGGGCTGCTGGGTTTCTGCCGTGAGGGCTGCTGGGTTTCTTCTGTGAGGGCTGCTGGGTTTCTGCTGTGAGGGCTGCTGGGTTTCTGCTGTGAGGGCTGCTGGGTTTCTGCTGTGAGGGCTGCTGGGTTTCTGCTGTGAGGGCTGCTGGGTTTCTGCTGTGAGGGCTGCTGGGTTTCTGCTGTGAGGGCTGCTGGGTTTCTGCTGTGAGGGCTGCTGGGTTTCTGCTGTGAGGGCTGCTGGGTTTCTGCTGTGAGGGCTGCTGGGTTTCTGCTGTGAGGGCTGCTGGGTTTCTGCTGTGAGGGCGAGCACAGGCTGCTGGTGTCTGTCTTCATGCCCAACTGCACTCTTGCGCAGCACTTATTCCACTGTAAGGCCCTGTAACAGCACCCCAGCTAGCGATGCCATCTATTCGTGGATGCGACAGTTGCCTCTGGTAATCAACGGCTGCTGCCAGTGCCCATGCGAGCTGCTGGGCTTCTGCGGTGACGGCGAGCCAAGCACCGGCTTCTCGTGTCTGACTTCTCGCCCAACTGCAGTCTGCACCCTCACGCGTGACGCAACACCTGTTCCACTGTATGATGCTGTTGGCTTCTTATCGAAGAGATGTTTTGTGATGCCTGTCAAGTGTCCCTTAGGCTGCTGTGAATGAAGCCAGCACTGGCTGGTTGGTCGTTTCATGCCCAACTGCACTCTAGCGCAAGACTTGTTCCACTTCACACCCCCTTCCCTTTTTCATTTCCCACTCCTTTCGCCCCTTCCTTCTGTGGGTAGAATGAGTAACCCCTTTTACCTCAGGGAAGAAGAGCGCCCCATGTCCTGGCTAGCAAGGCTGCCAGTGGCCATGCGTGTGGCTCAAGCGCTGGAGCATCTGGGGAGGGAGTGCATGCACACTCACACTTCTCTGCACTGCACCCTATTCACACCCTGCCCTCCCCATTCCTCCACCCCTCTTTTCCTGCGTCTCAGGGGAGCAACGCCCCATGTCCTGGCTAGCACGGCTGGCAGTGGCCTGGCCATGCGTGTGGCTCAAGCACTCAACCTGAGCGTATGGGAGGAAGTACATCCACACTCACACTCCTCCCCACCGCATTCAAACCCTCCTACTTCTTCTTTGGGATGCCCCAGGGGAGCAGCGCCCCATGACCTGGCTAGCACGGCTGGCAGTGGCCATGCGTGTGGCTCAAGCGTTGGAGCATCTGGGGCGGGAGAAGGGAATGCCTGTGTATCATGATCTTAACCCGTACAAAGTGCTGCTGGATAAGGTGAGGTTCTTATAACGAGTACAAGTTGTTGCGCTGCAAAATTAAACGAGTTTTGAGGCGCCTCAAAACCTGCTGCCACATCCTGTCCTGTTGCTTCCCCTTTTTTGTTACTGCAGAGCACCCAAGCTCTCATGTTAGAGTCACTTTTGGGAACTATCAGAAGTCACGTCCTGCTGCTTCCTCTTCTTTGTTACTGCAGGACAACCAACCCAAGCTCTCATGCTTCGGCCTCATCAAGCCTCTTAAGGACGGTCGCTACAGCTCCAATCTGGATTATCTACCCCCTGAGCAACTGTTACACGGTGAGGCATGAGGTGACCAACTAACTACCTGTAATGAGCGAGCTGGCTGTTGCATGGTGGGGCGTGCGTGAATGGTCGCTCAAAAGTCTCTTAAGGACGCTCGCTCGCTACAGCTCCAATCTGGACTATCTACCCCCTGAGCAACTGTTACACGGTGAGGCGCGAGGTGACGACTAACTACCCGCGTCCACTGTTGCATGGTTGTTTTTTAGTCGCCTCAGTCTCTACAGCACCCCCAACCTGGGCTATCTGCTTCCTGAGCAGCTGCTACACGGTGAGGAATGAAATTAGGTGACTAACTACCCATGACCATTGTTGCATGGTTGTTTTTTGAGTTGCCTCGGTCGCTACTGCTTCTCCAACCAGGACTATCGGTTACAATGCGTGTTACATCGTGTCACACCTTGTCATTCCTTGACACTCCTTGTGATTCCTTTTCACTCCTTCTCATTCCTCGTCACTCCTTCCTTGCCATTCGTGATCATGTGATTGCAGGGAGGGTGACAGCAGAGAGCGTGGTGTACAGCTTCGGACTCATCCTCCTGGCTCTCTTTAGTGGCAAGAGTATTCGCCCCACACAGGTAGGCATCAATGTGCATGTGTGTGTGAGTGTTGAGTCCACTTCAGGTAGGCCCCTACCTGAGGGGGGAGCATTCAGCCCACTTCATTCCCTCCCCCCTCAGGTAGGAGTGTGCGTGTGTGTGCGGGTGTTTAGTCCACACAGTTTCCTTCCCCAGCCCTCCCCCTTTTTCTCACATCCATTAGCTGGACATCAATCAACCCATCAGTTCCTTCTCCATCGCTGTCTCCATCTCCCTCGTCTCCTTCCCCCTGTCCATCTTCTCCTCTCCTCCCCCCCCCTCTCCACCACATTAGTTCCCGCAACAACCTCCACCAGGAAAATCAGGATCTGTCCCTGCTGCTAGACAACAGCCCTCTCCCACCCCCCCAGTGCCGCTCATTGCCTCATCACCTACATCCCCTCTCCCCACTTTCCCCGACCTTCACCCCATCAGTTCCTAGAGATGGTGGAGGAGAAGCAGGACATATCCCTCCTGCTCGACAGCAACCTCCTCTCGCACGCACTGAGTGTCGAATTCTCCCTTGAGCTCGTGCTGCTCATTGCCTCTTATCACCCCCTTTCAATCAATCCCCTTCTCTCCCCCCCCTCCTCCCAGTTTCTAGAGATGGTGGAGGAGAAGCAGGATCTATCCCTCCTGCTCGACAGCAACCTCCTCTCCCACGCACCGAGCGTTGAATTCGCCCTTGAGCTCGTGCCGCTGATTGCCGAGTGCCTCAAGAAGGACCCGGTAGATCGCCCCCCCATGGACAGCATTGCCGAGTTCCTTGGGATTCTGGATGACCGCAGCAGGGTGAGTGGGGGGTTCAGAACAGTGCAACGCGGTTGTGTGTGTGCGGTTGAGAGCGGTACTAGTAGTACATAATGGTGAGCTCGTGCCACTGATTGCCGAGTGCCTCAAGAAGGACCCACCCCGGCGGATCGGCCCCCCATGGACAGCATTGCCGAGTTCCTTGGGATACTGGACGACCGCAGCAGGGTGAGTGGGTTTTCAGAGCGGTGTAACACCGTTTGTGTGCGGTTGAGAGCGGTACAAGCAGATAATAACTGTAAGGTCGTGCTGTTAGTTGCAAGTCCCTTAAAAACTCAAAGAGATCGCCCCCCATTGGACAGCATTGCAGAGCTCCTTGAGATACTGGACGACCGCAGCAGGGTGAGTGGGGGGTTTGGAGCGGTGCAACGCGGTTCTGCTACAGCGTTGCAGGGCAACTGCAGGAGAGGGGACAGAAGGAGGCCGGCGCTCCCGATGTTGCTGCAGCTGCCTCAACGTTTTCCCAGGCTGTTGTAGCAGCAAATGACTCAGCTCTTACCACTACTACCTCTCTGCACCTCTTTTTGAGCCAATCAGAAATGCAGCTGCCTCTATGTTTGCCCACCAGCCTGTGATAGCAAATAATTCAGCACTTACCAACACCACCCCTCTGCACCTATCTGTGCCACCTCTTCCCCTACTCTCCCCCCCGGCAGGGCATCGGCAACTCACTCGGCCTTGCAGGAGAAGGAGAGGAAAGAGAGGGGGGAGGCGCTCCTGCTGCTGCTTCTGCGGCTGCCTTAGCGCTGGACCATGCCGTTATAAACAATGAATGAATCCGCTCATACCTCCACTCTGTACCGCTCTGTACAACTCTGTGCCACCTCTTCCTCACTCCCCCCGGCAGGGCATTGGCAATTCACTCGGCCTTGCGGGAGAGGGAGAGGAGAGGGAGGGGGGAGGCGCTCCTGCTGCTGCAGCAGCGTCGCCGTTGGCCCGTGCAGCCATGGAAGGGGACTGGGAGGTGCTGCATCGGAGGCTGGTCACAGTGTCGTTCACTCCGCCTCAAGAGGTAAAGTGTTTCTTCTTCTTCTTCTGCTGCTTCTCTTTGACATGTCCATCGAGTGGTTGTTCCCCTTCGCTTTGACATGAGTGACAAGGCGTCTCGTGCTGCCATGGGCTGGTCGCAGTGTTGTTCACGCCACCACAGGAGGTGAGAGCGCTGCATTGTGCAGCATAGCATGAGTTTTGAGACGTCCGCCCTTTGGACAAAACTCATGATGTCGCGTTTTGAGCATAGCATGATGCGGACGCCCTTCGGGTGTTTTTGAGAAATTTCAAATCTCGAAACACCCTGCGACGTCTCAAATTTCAAAACAGCAAGGCATGAGTCTGTCCTTTGGACAAAGCTCATTTTCTTCCCTCTCTCTCCGCGCATCTCTCCCTCTTGCTCCTCGCTTCTCCCTCCTGTGTCCTCTGTCTCCCCCCTCCAGCAGTCCTGTGAGGTATGGAATGCGGAGGTGCAAGGCCTGATGTCGTCCCGGCAGAGACAGAAGAGATGACCATCCTTTACGACACTCTTACCCCCCCCCCCCCCCCCCCCCCCCCCCCCCCCCCCCCCCCCCCCCCCCCCCCCCCCCCCCCCTCCCCCACACACTTCTTGCTACTTCCCCCCTGCTCCTCTGCGGCTCTGCCCCCTCCTTCTAGCCGTCCTGTGAGGTGTGGAACTCTAAGGTGCAAGGCCTGGTGTTGTCCAGGCAGAGGGGAGCCAGACCCACGTGATCCACCTTTCACTCGCTCTTCTGCGCCCCTTACTCCTCCCCTCCTCCATCCTTTGAGGCGCCTCAAAAGTGATCCATCTTTCACTCGCTCTTCTGCGCCCCTTACTCCCTCCTCACTTCATCCATCCCCCCTCTAGCCGTGCTTTGAGGTTTGAAATGTCGAGGTGCAAGGCCTGGTGTCGTCCAGGCAGAGGCTAAGGGTGACATTCCCTTACGACCCTGTTACACATTCCCTCACTCTTGCCATTCTCTCCCGAACACCCCCCCCCAGCCATCGTTTGACGTGTGGAATGTCGAGGTGCAGGACCTGGTGTCGTACAGGCAGAGGGGAGACATGCCTTCTGACAACTCTTGTGCGCCTTTGCCCCCTTGTGTCCCCGCTGCTGCTCTGCTTCCCCCCAGCCATCGTTTGAGGTGTGGAATGCTGAAATACAGGATTTGGTGTCGTCGAGGCAGAGGGGAGACAAGGCGTTCAAGAGCCAGCAGTGGGAGGAGGCGATTGCTCTCTACACCAAGGTGATAATAAAGGGCGAACATAAGTGTAAAAATTTGAGAAAATGGGAGATCTCTGGCGAGAGCCAGCAGTGGGAAGAGGCGATTGCTCTTTACACCAAGATAAGCGTAAAAGGGTGTTTTTTTTTTCTCGACACCAAGGTGGTTATGAAGTGAGATGGAGGGGTTTGAGAAGGGGGGTCATTTGTCGAGAGACTCGTAGAAAGTGTGCGACAGCAAGCAGTGAGACGAGACGATTGGGTGACTTTTGAGTCGACTCTAAAGAGACTCGTAGAAAGTGTGCAACAGCAAGCAGTGAGACGAGACGATTGGGTACTACTTCAGGGTGATTGTGATTATAAAGGGAGGAAGTTTTACTTAAGTAATTCCGATCAAATGGATCCCATCTCACTTTTGACACCACCCTCTCACTTTCTCCCTTTTATGTATGACATTCCCTCCACCCATCCTCCTGCCCTTCATGCCACCTCTTTCCACCCCTCTTTTCCTGCATGCCTCCCCTCTCCACCCCTGCGTTCTGCTCTCCACTCTACAGTTCCTCAAGTGTGACTCTCCCCCTATCCCCGTGCTGTTTGCACGGCGTTGCTTGTCCCATCTGCAACTGGGGCACTGGGAAGAAGCCTACCAGGACGCCCTACAGGTAAGGACAAACCCTGCCATCCAGGTTAGGACAAGATATTTCCTCTGATAAGAACCGATGGACACACAGTTAGGGGCACAGAACCTATGGACACGCAGTTAGGGGCAAAGCTGCATTGAAGCAAGGGGCTGCATCGGAACCAACGTTTTGATTGTTTTCCTGATTCAGTCTCGTAATGCTCAATCCTTTTTTTCTTTCCCACCTCATTGTTGTGTTGTTGTTTTCTGTTTTCTTCTGCCTGGCTGATAGTGTCGGATCAGCCTGGGCATTTCGTTTTGAGTGGAATCGACGTTTACCTTATGAGTATTGTTGGGCTCATGATGCCATGAGGTGACTTGAGTCGACTCAAAACTCATTTCATTTTGAGTGGAGTATTGTTGGGCACAGGGTGCCATGGCCGACCTGGGTGGGTACCACACCCCCCTTTCCAGTACCAACAATCGACCAAATCCTAATGCCCCAAGGGAAGCTTCCTCCTTTCGCAGATGCAGGACAGGACACGCATCACATGCAGCATAGCACCTATCCATCCGTCTCTCTCTTGTTATCTCGCCTTTCATCCCTCTCTTTCCCAGACCCAGCAGTCCAATCCAAAGCTTCAGGCCTAAAGCGACCTACCTAGTGGCCGCACATGCAGCATCACATTATCATGTCTCACTTCCCTAATGCTCTTTTATTCATGTCCCCGCTTTCCCTCCCAGGCCCAGCAGTCCAAACCCCCGTGGCCCGAGGCAACTTACTTAGTAGCCGCTGCACTGATTCGATTGGGAAGGGTTGACGAGGGACAGGAGATGATTGCTGCGGCGGGCAGACTAGAGAACAAGGTTTAATCATGGTTTTAGCAACAGGAAATTGCAATCCAAGACAGGCAGAAGCAGGTGTATGGGGTTGCATGGTTGATTGGATGTGGAAGATTGGCGTGGATGGACTACAGTGACCAAGGTTCATTACCGGTCTTGTAACATGTGTACTGGTAGGGGCTTAGCTGCTTGTAGGTGAGGTTGATGTTGTGGTTTGTGTAGTTTGCAGGTATAGTAAGCTCATGCCATAAGGTCAAGTACTGTAGACTTAACTGATGAGAATCTGTAGTTTTACTCATCTTGTGATGTGAATGTACTCATTGGCATAAAGAAGGGGTGACGTGTACTGCGTATTTTGATTTTAGCTTGTTCAACGGTCACCGAAGAGACCTTGTTCCTCACAAGAGCGAGCGTAGCTCTTGGCAGCGTGGCTGGCCATGATTGCTTGAGCGCTGGATGTCGCCGAGCCGAATTTCGAAACCTGTACAAATCGGTCGGTTTGGTGGTGGTGGTGGAGGCGGGGAGGTTGAAGACGAAGTGTCGCGTTGCTTTCTCCCGTCCCGTGACGCCGAAATGCTGCGAAACTTTTGAGCGCCTCGTGCCGTGCGAAAACGAAAACCATCTTTCCTCTTTTCGGTTCTTCCAATTCTTGCGGAAGTGCTGAACACAGGCATTCCAAGTGCTGTACACTGGTTTTCAAGGGCGGGACAGAACATCCGAACCCTGTCCGAATAGCCCTGAATGGATGCAGCAACCGCAGCTGATGTCGGCGGTTGTCGTGCCGTGGTGCCGAAGCTGCAGCCGAATTTTGGAGTTTCATTTCATGTCGCCGCAAACTTCGTGCCACAGACACGGGTCGCCCAGGCCACGCCAGCGGTCGCACAGGCAGCCATGCCATGCCCCTTTTCGCCTCACAACCAACCGCGGACTGTGGGCGAGCTTTGCGACGCTAACGAAGCATTTGGAGGTTGCGAGCGTCGCAAGCACCTCCATGCCAAATTGAGTCCAGACCCGGGACATTCAACCTCTACAAAAGACAAGCGTATCTCTCTGAAACTCATGGAACCGTTTTTAAATAAAATTTCTTTGAAAACACAGTATGTCTGCTGGGGGGGACTGTCAAATGTTGACCATGGCTGGTTGCAGCAACCGAATGGAGGCACCCAACCCAACCCGAACACCGACATTCCTCCTGTCCAACCATTCCTTTCCTGCATGATTCTCTAACCATAGTTGCAGTGGGGAACATCGAGGCGCGATAGCCACTCACTCGGAGATCGACAAGGCCGTCTCATCTCCCGTGCCCCCTCGCATCGTGGCTCCGCAGGGAACGCCGATTGCGGTGCAGGAGGATCGTGTGCGTGGGGGATCCAGGCTTCTTCCAGTATGCACTGATCGAGAAGAGTTGCATTTTTTCATCGACAGCATCTTAGTGCGTACTGTACAGGACGTAGTGAGGGGGCGTCACTGGCGATCTCTCTAGTCGTACTTCCAGCGGCGTTTCCAGCTGTTCTTCGATGGTAGAGTAGTAACTGGCGATCTCTAGTCCAAGTGGTTGCGGGGTGGAGGGGAATCGAGCGGCACCCAGCCAACCTTTCTTCGAAGTCCAGGCAGATTCGTGCTAGGTTTCTCAATCCAAGGAGAGTACTCATGTTCTAACATCGACTCCTTCGCTTATCGCTCTGCTTCCCGTCGCGTACCGTATCCGTTGCTTTACCGTAGCCTTCGAGAGCGCCGCTCGCGCCGTGATTCGCGGTACGCACGACGGAACGATCGTACCTTCTCCTTCTCGTACATACCCGCTCGGAGCGTCGTGGCTCCCCTTTGTTAGGCGCTCATCCTTAGTAGCTAGTGAATCTAAAGAAGCGGCGTGAGCCCCTTTTAACGAGTCGATAGCTCGTAGTAATCGGCGGCCAGCTGATTCTGGAACCACGCTTCAAGCGACTACGGTATTGGATTCATAGTATCATATAATTCGCCAAGGAGGCAAAGACCGCGTCTTTTGCGACGAGTCCTCGATCAGTTTATGATCGTTTCCCGCCAGCGATCCCATCAGGAGTACTCGTTGTAATCAGACTCGCGTTTGCAAGATGTCCTCACCGGGCTGATCGGGTGCGCGAAATCTGTATTTATATAGAATCTAGGGCTCGTGTGACTGTAGCGAGGTTGGACTTTCGTAATTGTAGCGACTCATAATTGTAGCGAGGTTGACTGTAGGCAGGCCAAATGGCGCGCTGCCGCGGTTTCATATACCGCCGCAGTGGCTGGGGAAGCTTTGTTAATAGCCTACGCGATTGCTGCGCGGGGACAGTTGCGCTCCTTGCGCTCATCGCTGCCCTTTCCGCAACTTGCCCAGGTGCGCTTGCGCCCACTTCACGCCCACGCACATTTTCCCCCACGTGCACCTTTTTGATCCGCGCGCCCTTTGTCCTCCCCCTCCCGTCTACTCTCACTCCGCCCACCTCCCCAAGCGCTTCAGGAAGCTTTGCCTCTACCTTCGCCTACCGCCCCGCTCGCTCTTGCGCGAGCGTCTTATCACTCGTCCCCCGTCTCCCCCTTGCCTCCTTCCTTTCCCCCCACACCACCCCCCTTATTATGACGGCCTCCCTCCTATTCCCTCCCTTTCCTCACCTTTTCCTTTTCTCTCCCCTCCCCTCCACCCGCCCCTCCGCTCTTCCCCTCTCCGCGCCACTCGGCAGCATCCGCGCAGTATCTCTTCCCCGCCATCCCCGCGCCCCCTCCCCCGAACACTTCCGACGCTGCTTCCGCCACAGCCGCTTCCGCTGCCCCCTTCCCAAACGGGCAACACAATAACGGGGCGGACAATAACGAGGACGCGCTACCAGTGGTGACTATAGCGGGGCCTCGGTTATGGGAAGTACCCGGGCGACAGCCCGAAAAAACCGCTTCACTATCTGCTGCCACGTCAGCAGCCACAACCGCTGCCACGTCAGCGACAGGTTCGTCTGGGTCAACTAGACGACCCAGTGGCGAGGAACTCTATATCGTGTATTTCAGAAACGTGCCGTCCGTTATAGACTACAAGGGCGGCATTCCGGGGTTTGCTGCTACAGCCGCTCCTGCTACAGACGACGGTCTTACTGCCTCCGCTGCTACAGCCGCTACAGATGATGATGATGGTGGTGACGTGGAAAGCTTGGAGGCTGGATACGATTCGGATGCTACAGGGGCCCCGTATGCTACAGGTGGTGCTGCTGGCGGAGGCGGAAGGTCCGCAGGCGCAAGCAGCGGAGGCGCAAGGAGCGCAAGGAGCGCAGGAGAAGCGATAACGGGACTTTTGAACGGTTCAGTGGCGTCAATCGCAACAGCAGGAGCAGGGGGAGTAGGAGGAGGAAGACGAGCAAGATCAAGGGCCGCAGCAAGCAGAGCAGCGGCAGCGGCGGCGGCGGTGCAGGCGATGGGGGCGTTGGACGGGCCGCGGGGCAGCAGGCGCGCGGACGAGCGCGAGAGCGACGTGCGCGCGTTCGCGCAGTTCGTGGGGGGCGTGCAGCAGCACATGCTGCAGGCCGTTGGTATTCCCAAGAATCGCATCGTGCACAGGTCGGTATTCCCAAGGGCCAGTATTCCCAAGAGTTAGTCATTCCAAGGGGCGCATCGTGCACAGGTGGGTAATCCCAAGGGGCGCATCGTGCACAGGTCGGTATTGCCAAGTCTCGGAGTTCCCTAGGCTCGGTTTCTAAGGTTTGGTATTATCAAGGGTCGGTACTTTCAAAGTTCGGTATTCGCAAGGTTCGGTATTCCCAAGGGTCGGTTCGCAAGGTTTGGTATTCTTTATTCTCATGGGCCGGTATTTCCAAGGGTCTGTATTCCCAAGGTCGGTATTTTCAACCATAAATCCTCGTCGTCCTCTCCCTTCCTTCCTGTTCCCGAGTGCCTCCACCCTTCCCTCCCCCGACCCCCCCACTCACCCCCAAAACAGCTGTCGCTTTGTGTCGAATGGAGGGAGCGTCAAGCTAACCCATTTAGAGGCCCACCGCCTGCAGCGGCACAAGTCAGACGCTGCCAGACTGTCTCCGTTCAGACCATCCACACGCCTCAGTTCCTGCAGCTGCCCTCGCGCGTGTGCCATGTAGCTCGTGCAGTCCTCTCACCCGTGCCTCCTTGCCTCTCTCCCCCCTCCCGCAACTCCCTCCTCCCTCCCACCCAAGCAGCTACCGCTATGTGTTGAACGGAGTGAGTGTGAAGCTCACTCGCTCAGAGGCCCACCGGCTGCAGCGGCACGAGTCAGTATTGAAAGTGGAGCGATCCCGGACTGTCTCAGTTCAAACCATCCACACGCCGCAGTTCCTGCAGCTGCCCTCGCGTGTGTGGCCGAGCGTGGGCGGGAGGAGCAGGGCAGGGAACGGCATGATCATTGGGATTGTGGATACGGGCATCTGGCCTGAACACCCCAGCTTCAGCGATAAGGTGAGGAGTGTGTGGTAACACAGTAACCTGTAACAAGGAGAGGGTGTGCTGTTATTGGGCATGATCATTGGGATCGTGGATACAGGTATCTGACCTGAACACCCCAGCTTCAGCGATGGTATGCATGTGTGTGTGTGTGTGTGTGTGTATGTGCGCGCGCGCGCGCGTGCGTGCGTGCGTGCGTGCGTGCGTGCGTGCGTGTGTGTGTGTGTGTGTGTGTGTTTGGAAACACGGTAACAAGGAGAGGGTGTGCTGTTATTGGGCATGATCATTGGGATCATGGATACAGGTATCTGGCCTGAACACCCCAGCTTCAGCGACAAGGTATGCATTGTGTGTGTCTGTGTGTGGTAACATGGTAACGTGGTAACATAGGCGTTATGGGCATGATAATTGGGATCGTGGATACGGGTATCTGGCCTGAGCACCCCAGCTTCAGTGATGAGGTATGCATGTGTGTATCTGTGTGTAACGTGGTAACGCAGTAACATGGTAACATGGAGAGGTTGTGCCGTTATGTTGTGTGGTCACTGTAATTGTGGATACGGTTATGTGGCCCCAAAACCCGTTTTTGTGTCGACTATAAAGTATGATAGCTGCAATTGTGGATACGGGTGGGTATGTGGCCCGCAAACCCAGCTTCAGCAGGGCGATCTCCCCGGGCCCCCACGCTGGTGTGTGATGAGTCGATTTTTGAGTCGACTCAAAAGTCGCTTGAGTCGACTCAAAAGTCGCTTGAGTCGACTCAAAAGTAGCTTGAGTCGACTCAAAAGTCGCTTGAGTCGACTCAAAAGTCGCTTGAGTCGACTCATAAGTCGCTTGAGTCGACTCAAAAGTCGCTTGAGTCGACTCAAAAGTCGCTTGAGTCGACTCAAAAGTCGCTTGAGTCGACCCAAATTCCAAAAACCCAGCTTCAGCAGGGCTATCTCCCCGCGCCCCCATGCTGGCAAGGCATATGCACCACCACCACCAGCGACTGCAAGGGCTGCAGCATCAAGATCACTGGCGCGCGCTACTTCACCCGCTCCTTTCCCCATCTCTCCTCTTCTCTCCTCTTCTCTCCTCTTCTCTCCTCCTGCAGGGCTATTCCCCAGTCCCACCCCGCTGGCGAGGCACGTGCATGACGACAGCCGACTTCAAGAGCTGCAGCAGGAAGATCATCGGCGCACGCTACTTCACCCGCTCCTCCCCCCCTCTCTCCTCCTCTGTCCTCTTCTCTCCTCCTGCAGGGCTATTCCCCCGTCCCCCCGCGCTGGCGAGGCACGTGCATGACGACATCCGACTTCAAGGGCTGCAGCAGGAAGATCATCGGCGCGCGCTACTTTGCCGAGGGGCTCGTGGCGTCTGGGGGCGCTGTGGACCCATCCACTGAATACCTGTCTCCCAGAGACGCCAGTGACCACGGCACGTGGTGTGCGGGGTGAGTGAGTGGGGCAGGCATGGCAATGTGTGTGTGTGTGTGTGTCAGGGCGTGGCATGGCGCTACTTTGCCGATGGGCTGGTGGCGTCTGGGGGCGCTGTGGAACCCTCCACTGAATACCTGTCTCCCAGGGACGCTAGCGGGAATCACTTTTGAGAATTCTCAAAAGGGACGCCAGCGACCACAGCACGTGGTGTGCGGGGTGAGTGAGTGGGATGATCACTTGTTTAAGATTGAGAGGCATGGCAGGAGGGGCATGGCAGGAGGGGCATGGCAGGAGGGGCATGGCAACACAAGAGACGCGCGCTGCTTTGCAGATGGGCTCGTGGCTTCTGGTGGGCAGTGGACCCATCCACTGAATACCTCTCTCCCAGGGGCGCCAGCTACCATGGTACGTGGTGTGCGGGGTGAGTGAGTGGGGTACGGGGCCAGGGTTTCCCAGCTTCTAGTGCGCATTGCAGCCCTCTGGCAGGATACAAGCAGTTTTCCTCCTTCTCTCTAATGGTCCTTTCATCGATGTAGGCGGCGGTCCTTTTCTCTCTCTCCTCATCCTTTCCTCTCCTTGTCCCTCCATTCTCATGCTCATCAGAGCGGCAGCAGGCAATCCGGTGAAGGTGTCGGGAGGAGGGTTGCAGTTCGGTACAGTGAGTGGCATGGCGCCCAGAGCACGGAGAGCCAACTACAAGGCCATCTGGGTGCAGGCTGGCGACTCTTGAGTCGACTCAAAAGCCAACTACAAGATCATCTGGGTGCAGGCTGGCAAGCTGGCCGTTGGTTGTTGAACGACCCTCGCCTTCTCTCTCTTTCTTTCGCCCCTTCCTTCGCCCGTCGCTCATCAGGGCCGCAGCAGGCAATCCAGTGAAGGTGTCAGGAGGAGGGGTGCAGTTCGGTACAGCGAGTGGCCTGGCGCCCAGAGCACGATTAGCCGTCTACAAGGCCATCTGGGTGCAGGGCAAGCTGGCACGGTAGCACGGTAGCACCCGGTGGAATGCTGGCACGGCATGGTGGCGCGTCTATCTGGTTGCACCATATAGACGCGCCGCGCCATGCGGCACGGTGGAATGCTGGCACGGCATGGTGACACGTCTATCTGGCTGTCTAGTCGGAGATTTGCACGGCATGGTGGACGAGGTGTCTGGCTGGACATTTTCCAGCAAAGCGCATGCCCCTTCACCTCTTCCTCTCTGCTCGTCCCTCTCCTGTCCCCCCCTCACTCACCAACCAGCGCTGCAGCACAGGGGAATGCTGGCACGGCACGGTGGCACGTCTACCTGTGTTGAAATCACTTATGAGAATTCTCAAAAGTGATTTCAATATGGCACGTCTAGATTTGAGGCGCCTCAAAACTAGACTTCTCAAAAGTGATTTCAATATGGCACGTCTAGATTTGAGGCGCCTCAAAACTAGAATTCTCAAAAGTGATTTCAATATGGCACGTCTATCCGTGTGACTGGCTGGAGCTCTTCTAACAAAGCGCATGCCTTTCTGCTGCTCTTTGCTCTCCCCTCTCCTGTCCCCCGCACTTATCAACCAGAGCTGCAGCCGGAAATCCGGTAAAAGTTTCCGGAGGAGGGGTGCAGTTCGGTACGGCCAGTGGAATGGCGCCCAGAGCACGGATAGCAGTCTACAAGGCCATCTGGGTGCAGGGCAAGCTGGCCGTCGGATCGGATTCGGACGTGTTTGCAGCCGTTGATCGCGCGGTGGCGGACGGTGTGGATGTGCTGTCCAGCATGTCCGTGGCGATCAACGAGGAGACCTACTTCAAGCATCTGGCCATGTTAAGGGCTGCGAGGGTAAGTGGCAGATTACAGGGTGAGCACGTGTTGCTTGTCGGTTTGGGTGTGGATGTGCTGAGCATGTCGGTGGCGATCAACGAGGAGACGTATTTCAAGCACCTAGCGATGCTGAGGGCTGCGAGGGTGAGTTGTGAGAGAGTAGCTGTGAGGGTAAGTGGGTGTGTGTGTGGTGGCATTTGAGTCGACTCAAAAGTCACCTCAGGGCTGCGAGGGTGAGTCTTGAGAGAGTAGCTGCGAGGGTAAGTTGGTGTGTGTGTGGTGGCATTTGAGTCGACTCAAAAGTCACCTCAGGGCTGCGAGGGTGAGTCGTGAGAGAGTAGCTGCGAGGGTAAGTGGGTGTGTGTGTGGTGGCATTTGAGTCGACTCAAAAGTCACCTCAGGGCTGCGAGGGTGAGTCGTGAGAGAGTAGCTGCGAGGGTAAGTGGGTGTGTGTGTGGTGGCATTTGAGTCGACTCAAAAGTCACCTCAGGGCTGCGAGGGTGAGTCGTGAGAGAGTAGCTGCGAGGGTAAGTGGGTGTGTGTGTGGTGGCATGAGTCGACTCAAAAGTCACCTCAGGGCTGCGAAGGTGAGTCTTGAGAGAGTAGCTGCGAGGGTAAGTTGGTGTGTGTGTGGTGGCATTTGAGTCGACTCAAAAGTCACCTCAGGGCTGCGAGGGTGAGTCTTGAGAGAGTAGCTGCGAGGGTAAGTTGGTGTGTGTGTGGTGGCATTTGAGTCGACTCAAAAGTCACCTCAGGGCTGCGAGGGTGAGTCGTGAGAGAGTAGCTGCGAGGGTAAGTGGGTGTGTGTGTGGTGGCATTTGAGTCGACTCAAAAGTCACCTCAGGGCTGCGAGGGTGAGTCGTGAGAGAGTAGCTGCGAGGGTAAGTGGGTGTGTGTGTGGTGGCATTTGAGTCGACTCAAAAGTCACCTCAGGGCTGCGAGGGTGAGTCGTGAGAGAGTAGCTGCGAGGGTAAGTGGGTGTGTGTGTGGTGGCATGAGTCGACTCAAAAGTCACCTCAGGGCTGCGAAGGTGAGTCTTGAGAGAGTAGCTGCGAGGGTAAGTTGGTGTGTGTGTGGTGGCATTTGAGTCGACTCAAAAGTCACCTCAGGGCTGCGAAAGTGAGTCTTGAGAGAGTAGCTGTGAGGGTAAGTTGGTGTGTGTGTGGTGGCATTTGAGTCGACTCAAAAGTCACCTCAGGGCTGCGAGGGTGAGTCTTGAGAGAGTAGCTGTGAGGGTAAGTTGGTGTGTGTGTGGTGGCATTTGAGTCGACTCAAAAGTCACCTCAGGGCTGCGAGGGTGAGTCTTGAGAGAGTAGCTGCGAGGGTAAGTTGGTGTGTGTGGTGGCATTTGAGTCGACTCAAAAGTCACCTCAGGGCTGCGAGGGTAAGTTGGTGTGTGTGTGGTGGCATTTGAGTCGACTCAAAAGTCACCTCAGGGCTGCGAAAGTGAGTCTTGAGAGAGTAGCTGTGAGGGTAAGTTGGTGTGTGTGTGGTGGCATTTGAGTCGACTCAAAAGTCACCTCAGGGCTGCGAGGGTGAGTCTTGAGAGAGTAGCTGTGAGGGTAAGTTGGTGTGTGTGTGGTGGCATTTGAGTCGACTCAAAAGTCACCTCAGGGCTGCGAAAGTGAGTCTTGAGAGAGTAGCTGTGAGGGTAAGTTGGTGTGTGTGTGGTGGCATTTGAGTCGACTCAAAAGTCACCTCAGGGCTGCGAGGGTGAGTCGTGAGAGAGTAGCTGCGAGGGTAAGTGGGTGTGTGTGTGGTGGCATTTGAGTCGACTCAAAAGTCACCTCAGGGCTGCGAGGGTGAGTCGTGAGAGAGTAGCTGCGAGGGTAAGTTGGTGTGTGTGTGGTGGCATTTGAGTCGACTCAAAAGTCACCTCAGGGCTGCGAGGGTGAGTCGTGAGAGAGTAGCTGCGAGGGTAAGTGGGTGTGTGTGTGGTGGCATTTGAGTCGACTCAAAAGTCACCTCAGGGCTGCGAGGGTGAGTCGTGAGAGAGTAGCTGCGAGGGTAAGTGGGTGTGTGTGTGGTGGCATTTGAGTCGACTCTAAAGTCACCTCAGGGCTGCGAGGGTGAGTCGTGAGAGAGTAGCTGCGAGGGTAAGTGGGTGTGTGTGTGGTGGCATTTGAGTCGACTCAAAAGTCACCTCAGGGCTGCGAGGGTGAGTCGTGAGAGAGTAGCTGCGAGGGTAAGTTGGTGTGTGTGTGGTGGCATTTGAGTCGACTCAAAAGTCACCTCAGGGCTGCGAGGGTGAGTCGTGAGAGAGTAGCTGCGAGGGTAAGTGGGTGTGTGTGTGGTGGCATTTGAGTCGACTCTAAAGTCACCTCAGGGCTGCGAGGGTGAGTCGTGAGAGAGTAGCTGCGAGGGTAAGTGGGTGTGTGTGTGGTGGCATTTGAGTCGACTCAAAAGTCACCTCAGGGCTGCGAGGGTGAGTCGTGAGAGAGTAGCTGCGAGGGTAAGTGGGTGTGTGTGTGGTGGCATTTGAGTCGACTCAAAAGTCACCTCAGGGCTGCGAGGGTGAGTCGTGAGAGAGTAGCTGCGAGGGTAAGTTGGTGTGTGTGTGGTGGCATTTGAGTCGACTCAAAAGTCACCTCAGGGCTGCGAGGGTGAGTCGTGAGAGAGTAGCTGCGAGGGTAAGTGGGTGTGTGTGTGGTGGCATTTGAGTCGACTCTAAAGTCACCTCAGGGCTGCGAGGGTGAGTCGTGAGAGAGTAGCTGCGAGGGTAAGTGGGTGTGTGTGTGGTGGCATTTGAGTCGACTCAAAAGTCACCTCAGGGCTGCGAGGGTGAGTCGTGAGAGAGTAGCTGCGAGGGTAAGTTGGTGTGTGTGTGGTGGCATTTGAGTCGACTCAAAAGTCACCTCAGGGCTGCGAGGGTGAGTCGTGAGAGAGTAGCTGCGAGGGTAAGTGGGTGTGTGTGTGGTGGCATTTGAGTCGACTCTAAAGTCACCTCAGGGCTGCGAGGGTGAGTCGTGAGAGAGTACCTGCGAGGGTAAGTTGGTGTGTGTGTGGTGGCATTTGAGTCGACTCTAAAGTCACCTCAGGGCTGCGAGGGTGAGTCGTGAGAGAGTAGCTGCGAGGGTAAGTGGGTGTGTGTGTGGTGGCATTTGAGTCGACTCTAAAGTCACCTCAGGGCTGCGAGGGTGAGTCTTGAGAGAGTAGCTGCGAGGGTAAGTGGGTGTGTGTGTGGTGGCATTTGAGTCGACTCTAAAGTCACCTCAGGGCTGCGAGGGTGAGTCTTGAGAGAGTAGCTGCGAGGGTAAGTGGGTGTGTGTGTGGTGGCATTTGAGTCGACTCTAAAGTCACCTCAGGGCTGCGAGGGTGAGTCTTGAGAGAGTAGCTGCGAGGGTAAGTTGGTGTGTGTGTGGTGGCATTTGAGTCGACTCAAAAGTCACCTCAGGGCTGCGAGGGTGAGTCTTGAGAGAGTAGCTGCGAGGGTAAGTTGGTGTGTGTGTGGTGGCATTTGAGTCGACTCAAAAGTCACCTCAGGGCTGCGAGGGTAAGTTGGTGTGTGTGTGGTGGCATTTGAGTCGACTCAAAAGTCACCTCAGGGCTGCGAGGGTGAGTCGTGAGAGAGTAGCTGCGAGGGTAAGTGGGTGTGTGTGTGGTGGCATTTGAGTCGACTCTAAAGTCACCTCAGGGCTGCGAGGGTGAGTCGTGAGAGAGTAGCTGCGAGGGTAAGTTGGTGTGTGTGTGGTGGCATTTGAGTCGACTCAAAAGTCACCTCAGGGCTGCGAAAGTGAGTCTTGAGAGAGTAGCTGTGAGGGTAAGTTGGTGTGTGTGTGGTGGCATTTGAGTCAACTCTAAAGTCACCTCAGGGCTGCGAGGGTGAGTCGTGAGAGAGTAGCTGTGAGGGTAAGTGGGTGTGTGGTGGCATTTCTTATCTATATGGATGTGCTGAGCATGTCAGTGGCTTTCAACGAGGAGACCTACTTCAAGCACCTGGCCAAGCTCAGGGCTGCCAGGGTAAGATGGAAGAGAGAGGGAGGGAGCTGTGAGGGTGAGATGGAAGAGAGAGGGAGGGAGCTGTGAGGGTGAGATGGAAGAGAGAGCGAGGGAGTTGCGAGGGTGAGTGGGTGTGAGCGAGCTCGCCTCAATCGTCAGTGTGAATGTGACAAGTGGTTGAGAGAGAATTTTCAAGAGCTCGCCTCAATCGTCGCTTATGACAATTCTCAAGAGCTCGCCTCAATTGTCACTGTGAATGTGCGAAGCATGCTGGGGTTGGGGTGTTTTGTGGCATTGGCGGCGGGCAACAGCGGGCCTCCACCCGCAAGCACCAAGGTGTAATAACAAACCGACCCTCTTCCCTCCCTTCCCCTTGCCCTCCTATCCCTGCCCATCCCTGCCACCCGGGCAGGCAGGGGTGTTTGTGGCATTGGCGGCGGGCAACAACAGGCCCCCACCTGGGAGCACCAAGGTCTAACAAACAACACACCCACCCCCCTTCCCTCTCCCCTTCCCCTCCCCATTCCCTTCCCATCCCTGGCACTCGGCGCAGGCAGGGGTGTTTGTAGCGTTGGTGGCAGGCAACAGCGGGCCCCCACCTGGGACCCCCAAGCTTTATCGCACCCTCACCAACCTATCGCCTTACTACATCACCGTTGCTGCCAGGTAGGCTTGTGCTGTGGGTTAGTGTATTAACCCTGGTTGCTGCCTGTCGCACCCTCACCAACCTATCGCCTTACTACATCACCGTTGCTGCCAGGTAGGCTTGTGCTGTGGGTTAGTGTATTAACCCTGATTGCTGCCTGTCGCACCCTCACCAACCTATCGCCTTACTACATCACCGTTGCTGCCAGGTAGGCTTGTGCTGTGGGTTAGTGTATTAACCCTGGTTGCTGCCTGTCGCACCCTCACCAACCTATCGCCTTACTAAATCACCGTCGCTGCCAGGTAGGCTTGTGCTGTGGGTTAGTGTATTAACCCTGATTGCTGCCTGTCGCACCCTCACCAACCTATCGCCTTACTACATCACCGTTGCTGCCAGGTAGGCTTGTGCTGTGGGTTAGTGTATTAACCCTGATTGCTGCCTGTCGCACCCTCACCAACCTATCGCCTTACTACATCACCGTTGCTGCCAGGTAGGCTTGTGCTGTGGGTTAGTGTATTAACCCTGGTTGCTGCCTGTCGCACCCTCACCAACCTATCGCCTTACTACATCACCGTTGCTGCCAGGTTGGCTTGTACTTGCTGCCCATCCCAGTCCCATTTCCCCTTTCCCCTCTTACCTCCCCTCACACTGCTTTTGAGTCGACTCAAAAGCAGGCTTGTGTTTGCTGCCCAGTCCCATTTCCCCTTTCCCCTCTTACCTCCCCTCTTACCTCCCCTCTTACCTCCCCTCTTACCTCCCCTCTTACCTCCCCTCTTACCTCCCCTCTTACCTCCCCTCTTACCTCCCCTCACACTTCCCCTCTCCGGCCTAGTTTTGAGTCGACTCAAAACACTTTCCCTCTTACCTCCCCTCCCACCCTCCCCTCTCTCCTCCCCTCTCCAGCCCAGCAGCCCGCTCCCTGCCAACCCCGTCTAGCCTTTCCTCTCTACCTCCCAAACTGAGTTATTGAGTTGACTCCGTCGTCTCAATTTGAGTCGACTCAAAGGTCACGTCTAAATTTCCCTCTACCTCCCAAACTAAGTTCCTGCTCTCCTTTACCCCCTCTATCTCCCTCCCTTCCTCTCCATCCCTCGCCCCTCTCCAATCCCCAGCACGTCCAGCCAAGCCTGGCCGCCCCAAGCCAGGCTGGCGCTGGGCAACAGGCAGAGCTACCTGGGGGAGACGCTTCTGGGCGGCAGCACTGCCACGCGCCAGCTCCCTCTGGTGGACGCCAAGACAGCCGCTGCTGCCGGGTACACGGCTTCCCAGGCTGAGGCCTGCATGCCGTACTCGCTCTCTCCTTCCAAGGTACGCATTTGAGAATCCCTCACATCACTTCCTCCTGAGAAATTCGCTGCCTCTGCTGGGCGGCAGCACTGCCACGCGCCAGCTCACTCTGGTGGGCGCCAAGACAGCCGCTGCTGCCGGGTGCACTGCCTCCCAGGCAGAAGCCTGCGTGGCGTACTCGCTCTCGCCCTCCAAGGTGGGTTCGCTTGTCCCTCACTCCCTTCCAACATAACTGCCTCCTTACTCGCCAGCTGCCTCTGGTGGACGGCAAGACAGCTGCTGCTGCCGGGTACACGGCTTCCCAGGCTGAAGCGTAGAGGGCCTACTTACGCTTTAGCGCCCTCCAAGGTGGGTTCACAAAGGGAGTGCCTTTGTGTAGAAAGAGAGTGAGGAGCGTAAGTAGGCCCTCTACGCTAAACCTTACGCTTTAGCGCCCTCCAAGGTGGGTTCACAAAGGGAGTGTATGGAGAGCGCCTTTCTCTTGCTGAAGGGAGAGCCTATTTTTGAGTCGACTCAAAAAAAGAGTGCCTTTCTCTTGCTGAAGGGAGAGGTGGCACACCACTCCCTGCCTATGCGCCTCATCCCCACTCATCCCCACTCATCCCCACTCATCCCCATTTAACAGGTGCGCGGCAAGATCGTGGTGTGCTGCACGGGATTCTTCTACGCGAGCGAAAAGGCAGCGGAGGTGGTGAGAGTGGGCGGGCGGGCGATCATCAAAGGCAATCATCAAAGGCAATCATCAAAGGCAATCATCAAAGGCAATCGCTCTTCCCCCTATTCTCTCCCCTTCCCCCTCTTCTCTCCCCTTCCCCCTCTTCTCTCCCCTTCCCCCTCTTCTCTCCCCTTCCCCATCTTCTCTCCCGCTCGCCCCCACTCCCACTCATCCACGCTACCAGGTGCGCGGCAAGATCGTGGTGTGCTGCATGGGATTCTCCTACGCGAGCGAGAAGGCAGCGGAGGTGGCGAGGGTGGGCGGGCGGGTGTGAGGGAAATCATCAAAGGCATAAAGCCTTCCCCCTCTTCTCTCCCCCTCCCCTCCACTCCCACTCACCCCAACCCGCACAGGTGCGCGGCAACATCGTGGTGTGCTGCACGGGGTTCTCCTATGCGAGCGAGAAGGCGGCGGAGGTTGCGAGAGTGGGCGGGCGGGCGATCATCGTGGTGCCGTACGCCAATGGGGAGGGCGCGGTCAAGGCTGTGGCCTTGGGATTGCCGGGACTGTTCCTCGTGTACTGGAAGGGCAAGGCCATTCGCGAGTACATTCGCAGCACACCCAAGTGAGTTGAGCTTTATGTAAAATAGGGCCCTGTTCCCCCATTCTTCTTGACTCGTCCCTTTTGCTCCTCTCACAACTCTCTTCCGCTCCTTTCTCTGCCTGCTCCCTTGTCTCCCACCAATGCCCCTTGCTCTCCCCCCAATGCTCACCGGCAACCCTGCTGTTCCTGCTCACTTCCCCCTATGTATAGTCTGGACGTTTGTTCCCCCAACTGTCAAGCCGTCCTCTCTAGTCCAATCCTTTCTGTCTCACCCCCAACTAATCTCCCCCCAATCCCCCCCAATCCCCCCCAATCCCCCCCTATCCCCCCCAATCCCCCCGAATGTCCCCCCAAACTCCTCCCCCTATCTCCTCCCCGAAGTCCCCCCTCCCCCTCCAACAGCCCAATCACAACCCTCTCGCCTCTCTTCCTTCCCAAGCAGGTTCCTCTCAACATGGCCGTCTTTTCCGGTGGCCCCGTATGTTTTTTGACAATTCTAAAAAAACATACTTTTCAGGTGCAGGCCCCGCCGTCAATCCCGCTGCAGGCAGGCTTCAACGTCATCTTAAAGCCCACTTGCCCCCATGCCTACTAGCAGCCCTGCTGTTCCTGTCCACTCCCTCCCTGCTTCCTCACACTGACAAACCTTCCACTGTGCACCTCTCCTTCCTGTTCCCCACCCAACTCCCCTGCTTGCTCCCCACCCTCTCTCACTCCGCAACAGCCCAATCGCAACACTCTCAGCACTCTTTCTACCCAAGCAGGTGGCTCCCCAGATGGCCGTCTTTTCAGGCGCAGGCCCAGCCGTCAATCCCGCTGCAGGGTTCTACGACAGCAGCAAGATCACCAACGCAATCTTAAAGCCCGACATCACCGCGCCAGGCGTCTCTCTCCTCGGACCCATGGCCGCCGGATCCACCTCTGAGGGATCCTTCCGCGCGCTTTCCGGGACGTCCATGGCCGCCCCGCATATAGCGGGAATCGCGGCGCTGCTCATGCAGAAATACCCGACTTGGAGCCCCGCGGCGATCAAATCCGCGATGCTAACGACGGCGTATACGACGAACACGGCGAGGAAGTTTATCCGGACCGCGAAGGGACAGATGGCGTCGCCCTGGAATTACGGATCTGGGCACGTTTTTCCCGCGAAAGCGCTTGATCCGGGGTTGGTGTACGATGTTGGCATGATGGGCTATTTATCGTTTCTGACGGGGGTTGATCGAGCGCAAGCAAAGGCGGCGTTTCCGCAGTGGAACGTGGCGCCAATCCAACCGTTCAATCTTAACCAGCCGAACATTTGCGTGCCGAAGCTAAAAAGTACAGTGACGGTGTATCGAAGTGTGACTAATGTGAGCGGGAAGCAGTCGAGGTATTCTGCGACGGTGGTTGCTCCGAAGAATGTTGCCGTGACGGTGCGTCCGACGAGCTTCGTGATTGGGCCGAGTAAATCGCAGGCGTTCACGGTTACCCTTCGCCCGACTGCTGCGACAAACGCATTTTCGTTTGGCAGTCTGACGTGGACAGACGGGGTACATTCAGTGAGGTCGGTGCTGGCAGTACAACCTATTGCGGTGTAGATATAGATACCTGTTAGTACAAATCACACACGTGTTGTTGGTGGAATTGCTTTATGAAATACCAGAATGTAATCTCGTGAAATATATAGATGTGGTAAGAAGAATGTGCTTTTAGTTGCCAACATCTGAACTTGGCAACTACTGGCCTCAATTGAAGATGCTCTTTGTTGTAGATATCATATTTCTTTTCACCAGACAACATTAATGCGTTTACTGTAGGTGTCATCTTAAGCTTTCTATTTAGACCAGCCACGTTGCATTTAGTACTAGCGAGTGAGCTTGGATCTTGCAACGAGGATTTCTAGGAGCGTCTTTTGAAGTCCCTGTTTTACTCGACGGTTTGGTAAGGTGTTGCACGTCTGGGGTACGGCTAAGTGGGATGTCGCCTTGATCAGGCAACTACAAAGGCCGTAGCAGCAACTACCTTCTGCCACAATTGCTCCAATTTGTCAACATTTTCCTTCATTCCTGGGGTAGAATCCCAAGCTAACATCCAGCCGAACGTTCAGCAGTTCGTCTTCAACCAATGCCGAATATCCACGTTTGTCACCCCGCTTGGGAAAGACGGCTGGCACGTCATCGCCACAAAATCCCACGCACGCCAATCAGCTTCTGGATAACGTTATTGGTCAGCACTGTCTTCTACAAGACCCGGAGGCGCCTTTTTCTCATCCACTTCGCTAGGCTGGTGTTCAGTGCACAGCGCCTTTCCCTCTCTGGCACCTCTGATCCCGCCAGTCAAGCCTAGCCTAGCCACACCCAAATCTATCACACAAAATTTTCCTAAAATTCTTTGTCAAAGGTCCGAATGTCGCTTTTACACTTGCAGAAGAATATGCTCCTAGGAATGCAGGACCTACAAAGCTGTAGATTCCGACCCTGTCAAACAAAACAATTCAACCCATACAGTACTTCCACCCATACACACAAACACGGGCAGATCATTTCTCTCCATCCATGCGGATACACATTTCACACCGCATCACACCATGCAGACCATTTCTCTACTGTACATCACACTGCCTCGTTGCGCACATTTCAATTCCACGTGGAGCAGCAGCCTCCAAACAAACGTCCCTCTCCCCGCCCCATCTCATCTCATCCCTCATCTCATCCCTTCCATCCCACAGCCCAGCCCCTCGTTCCCCCTCTCCAACCCAACATCTCTGTTAACATCTCCCGCGCTCCCGAAGGCACTCCGTTGCGCCGTTTGGAGCTCCGACTGAGAATCACGGAGGATCGCCGAGTGACGCGATGAGGGCGATTACCGAGAACCACTAGTGATCGTCCGAACAGCTGGAGACGACTGAGACGTCTCAGCAAGCGCACTCCCAAGTTTTTTGTTAGTTTTATTGGGGTGCGAAGGAGGGACTTGTTAGAGTCTTAGAAGCCGAGGGTTAGGTGGCGCTTCACCCGTCACTTGGTGAAGCGGCCCAGCTTGGACTTTCAGGGAGCAGCAGGCAAGCGGAACAGCAGTCGAACGGTGCAGCAGGCGAGCGGAGTAGCAGACAAGCGGAGCAGCAGGCAAGCGGAGCAGCAGACAAGCGGAGCAGCAGACAAGCGGAGCAGCAGACAAGCGGAGCAGCAGACAAGCGGAGCAGCAGACAAGCGGAGCAGCAGGAGAGGCTCTTTTCGGTTATGGATCCTAGTTCTCGCAAAAGCACCCCTGTTGAAACACCGGCACAAGCAGCAGCTTCGGCGGCGACGTCAATGGCGGCTTCCGCCGTGAGCGCGAGCGCCTCCGAAACCTCCGCCGTATCTACCGCCGCGGTTTCCTCGGCGCACGGTACAATCGAGGAGCCGCCTCACAGTCGAACCGCGTCCCCGTGCGCCGCGTGCAAGTTCCTGCGGCGGAAATGCACGGCGGAGTGCGTCTTTGCACCGTACTTCCCGCCGGACCAGCCGGGGCGGTTCGCGAACGTTCACCGCGTGTTCGGCGCGAGCAACGTCACGCGAATTCTGGCGGAGCTTCCGCCGGAGCTGCGCGGAGACGCGGCGAATAGCATGGCGTATGAGGCGGAGGCGCGAGTTCAGGACCCGGTTTACGGCTGCGTGAGCGCGATCTCGTTACTGCAGCAGCACGTCATTCATCTGCAAACGGAGCTGCTTGTAGCGCAGCAGGAGCTTTCGGGGCTGCAGCGCGCGCTAGAAGCTTCCGCGCAGGCAGCACAGGCGCAGGCAGCGCAGGCGCAAGCAGTACAGACGCAAGCAGCACAGGCGCAAGCTCAGGCGCAGGCGCAGGCGCTTCACCTTTCCGCTGCAGCTGTGCCCGCGCCAGCCCAGACACCTGTACAAGCCGCCACCGCGAATTCCCCCTCCGAGTCAGGCATGACCCAAGGGCCTCCCGCTTACCCCCCAACCCACACAACCGCAACCAACTCCCTCTCTTTCCACGCTGACCCCGCTGTTCCCACTGTCCCCACTGCCCTCTCTGCCCCTGCTGCCCCCGCTGATGTCTCCTCTGCCCTCTGCGCTCCTGCTCCTCCAGCTGGTATCCCCACTGCTGCTGCTGCTGCCCCTCCTGCAGCATGCGCATCCCAAGCAGCAGCAGCAGCAGCAGCAGCAGCAGCAACAGCTCCAGATGCCTCTGTTCCACCTTCGTTTGAGTCACAAACGCCACAGCCCACTGGTACTGCAGTTGTTGCCTCGTTACAAGTTGCTCCTGTATCTGCATTGCAACCTGCTCCCGTCCCCGTGCTGTAACCTCCTTAATCAGAGCTACAACCTGCCCCAGCATTTCTGCTGCTACCTTCCCCTGTGACCTGTCCATTGTTTCTCTGCTACCACCTGTAGCAGCGCCTGTTATTGCAAATTATTTGGCTAGGTCAACAGAAAAGGATTAATATAGTCAGGCAGGGTACCGTAGTGTTTAAAGGTAGAATCTATGTAGGTAGATGGATGATTATGCCCATGGGCTGGCTGGCAGGTTTCTAGGGAGATGACACTGTAGGAGAGGTAAGCTACTTTGCTTCTAGGAAGGTTTATGATTTCATATTTAAATTATTGTCGGAAATACAAACAAATCAGCCCACTTATCAACCTACTATCCGAAGCAACCCACCAACTGTATCATACAAGTACACAAGCTGTGACCGAGTCAAGCCTTTCACGGGAACTGTTGCACCGGCATAACCTTTCTTGCCCGGCCATACGCGGTATAAGCGCAGTCCACAGCAAGCACATCACTCGCCTCATACGACCTGGGTGTACCATCCAAAAACCCCTTCCCTTCCACGCTGTCAGCCGAAATCGGCCGGTGCAAGCTTGCAATCAAACGCTGGAAATCATTTGCGCGCTGCGCGTGATCTGCGCGGTACGTTTGCCCCAACACGCCGTGAATATCGTCCGTATATTCCAGCTCGGCAATCCCCACGTTGATATGCGCCTCGGCGTCGGTCGGGGTCTGCAGCTTCGGGTGCGCGACACGCAGGCGCAGATCCAACGAAATCAGACCGTCGATCGTCAGCATGTAATAATCCACATCGAACGGTCCTTCTTTCTCCAGCGCGCGGAACTGAACCGTCAGCCCACCGTCGCTCGTCACCGTGTCGCCAACCTTCATCCTCGGGATCTCCTCGCCGTCAAACTCGATAATCTTCATGAACCCGTCGCCGCGCTCCTGCTGCTTGCCGCCGCGCGCCGCGAGCCGAATCTTGTGGTCCGCGCCCTGAGCAGTCCAGACAATCCCGAGCTCCTTAATCCACGTGTGCACCGCCTTCCCGTCGACCACAAGCGCGGCGTTATCGGTGCGCTCGTCATAATACCCCCTCAGCAGCATGTTCACGTGAAGATCGCGGTCCGTCAACAGGCAGAACGCCTTGTCGGGGCGCCCGTTGAAGTCGAAGTGCGTGCCGTGCGCGCCGACCAGATGCGGGTCGTTGAGAATCTTCGCGCTAGGGTTACACTCGCCGCCGATGCGCACCTGCAGATGCACTGGCTTCGTTTCCGTTGAATACTGCGCGGTCATCTCTCCGCATGTGAAATCAATCTGATCGTGAATCAAATAACACGCGCCCTTGCCCTTTTTCCCGTCGATGGTAATATCGGGGATATACTGCCAGTACGTGCAAAGCGGAGTCGCGGCGCAGGTGTTACAGCACGACGCGGGGTTCGCCTTGAGGAGCGTCAGCGGGTTACCCGGCACGTACAGTTCGTAACCGAGCTTGTTCTTTTGCAGATAAGCGGTTTTCCACTTAGCGGGGATGCCTCCCTTGGAGCAATTTTTTGGTGTGCACGCGCCCGCAAGCTCCTTGTTCAATCCAGGCGGGCATTTCTGCGCGTTCCACCCCGCCTTCTTCACATCAGCCATGAAAAACGAATCCTGCGCGGTATCCACGTAGGTGACTCCCGCCGCGTTGCCCGTCGACGCCTGCTTCGCGATATCCGCGGGAATTTCGGTCATGAGCCCGTCGTCCTTCTTGCTGCTCTGGTCGGGTTTCTCGTTTGCGGTGGCGCTCGTCAGGGGGCTGCCGGCGTGGGCGACTGTGAGCAGCAGCGCCAGGGACAGCGCGAGAAGCGCGGCTCTAGCCATTCTGCAAAGCTGGGAGAGACGTAAACAGAATCAAGAGTGTACGTTGCGTGTACAATACAATAGTAGGAGTATCGTACAGTCGAAGTGAAAATTTCTTCTATCGCTCGCTGGCTACTAGATACAAGCTGCTGTGCTTGATGTTGATGGTGGGGCTTGATCATTTAAGGCGTGATCAAAGTATTTTTTTATGAACTGCGACGTCGAAGGTCAGACGTCAATAGACGTCGTGCTCGACGTTGATCGACGTCGAAATTGGCACTGATCACAATGCCGGCGACGAACTTTCACACAGGACAAATGCCGGCCTAAATAGTAGAACAATTGAATTCAGACGACTGTCGGGAATCGCAATGCTTTTTTTCTGTGCATATATAGTACGTCTATTGGCTGCGAAAAACCACAAGCGAACTGTACAGCTTCGTCAATTTCGAGAATACAATTCTTGTCGAACTGTTTTGCTGTCTGTTGCGGTCACGCTATCACTGTACAGATGCGCTCAATACCGTACAAGTGGCGATGGTGGCGTCAGCAATTTTTGAGGCGTACTTTGATCACAAAAATGGCACCCCTCAGCTCACCTACCTCGCCCAACAACCTCGACGTCGAAAATTTGCAGCACTTTGATCACCCCATTATGTGAATGGCGCGAAAGAGGGAGGGAGACAGAGCGACCGAGTCGCGGTTATGTTTGTTCATCTGCGGCGCGCGCGAGTTAGGCTTCACTGATAGAGGTACTGGATTCGACCTGCTGGTGGTTGTGTCACGTTGCTGGTTCCTGATTGGATAGTTGATAGGTGTATCCGAACCCACTTGCAAGCCACGAGGCGCATGCTGATCAGGTTTATGCTCCACACGCATCTGGCTTGACACCTGAACCTGATCTGCCGAGGTGTCCAGACTGGCAGGGAGAGGTCTACAATCCACGTGTGTATTCGTCAGATATACCCCGTAGAAACAACGCCATGTAAATACTTGAGAAGCTGCACTTGTGAAAGTACTCATCCATGAATACATATTGTGTGTGAAAGTGTCACATGACATCCACTGCGTTCTCAACGCAGTGGCAGCACTGAACTTCCTGAACAATTAGGAAGATACTGATGGCCTATCTGATCGTTTAGTATGTAACATGTTTTGGGTTAAGCGCCTAAGACCTGCACATGTCCTGTTAGTGATGTGGCTTGAGAACCCATTTGATATAAAACTATATTCCAATCCCCAACATACACGGGATAGTTATTTATCAAACAAGCATATCAACCAGCTCTCGCAGCAGGTGTGATTCTCTAGCAATGCCAGTAACTCCCTTGATACTTTCTTGTTTTGCCAGGTCTCTTCACAAGGATGTCCTGAAGGCTGAAGCACAGGTAGCAGGTGCTTGCATGTTACACCTTCCAAGAACCCCTACATCCTTTTTACAGCAGGTGCTTGCATCCTACATGTCACTTCCTTGTTGCTCCAAATCTCTCCACTAGTATATCCTGAAGAACAGGCAACAGGTCCTTGCAGGGTACACCTGCCTTGTGCACCTGCCCCAGGTGAGAATCAGATCCGATTCTGCCACCCAGATAGATGTCGACTCCTTCCACGGGTTTCTTGTTTTCGTCTCTTGCCATACACCCCATCAGGCCGATGTCTGCCACTTGCACCTGTAGGAGCGCAATGCAGGGAAATATCAAGATTTGTTACAGCTCCTTCAAACAACATCTCTTGCTATCCATCCCATCAGGCCAATCCCTGCCACTTGCACCTGTGTAGGGCGAGCAAGGGAGGTGGCCAGAGGAGGGGGGGGGGGGGGGGGGGGGGGGGGGGGAGGGGGGGGGGGGGGGTTCAAGAGTGGTTTTTGAGGCAATGAGAATATATGAATCACATCAGGCCGATGCCTGCCACTTGCACCTGTTTGATAAGCTATGCTAGTTTCAGAGGGTGAAGCAGGATCCAGAGTCACGTTCCTTCCTATGATATAAAAGAAATAAACAGCAAAAATGGAAAACTCTTGTGAGAATGTGGAACTACCCATTGCAAAACTTTTCAAGCTCACCTGCCCACAAGAGTTCGGGCAGCCAGTCCAGTGGATCCTCACTGGCTCGGGCAGATTTAAGGTCTCTTCCAGCTGTCGCGTGACCTGAAGGAAAAGAGAATAGGCGTGGAGATGGGGGGTATCAGCATCAGACTCAGGGGTATGATAAGCAGAAGCAGGCAAGGAACTAAGGAAACAAGCAAGCAAGCAAGCATGTGGAGGATAGAGGAGCATCACAGACTGTATCGCAGTTCACCAGTAACCATTGAGTCAAAGCTAAAAAGTGTGTGTGAAGAGCCTAGTTTTGAGTCGACTCAAAGCTAGGCTCATCAGCAAGCATGCGGAGGAGAGAGGAGCACTCAAAACTGCATCACAGTGAACCAGTAACCATCGAATCAAGCTATGAAGTCAACTACTTGCACTGCCCCGTCACCCCCCGTACACCCGCCTCTCACCTGCAGAACCCTCTGCTTGGTTTCAATTATGGCCTGTCCGCAGAGCTGGTTACCAGTGCACGCCACCAGCGACCCCCACTCTCTCATCCATACACACCCCTAACCTCACTCACATGCACTCAATCCCTGCTGCCTCTCTCACCTGCAGTGCCCTCTGCTTTGTCTCAATGATGGCCTGCCCGCAGAACTGGTTACCAGTGCACGCCACCAGTGACCCCATCAGATTCCCCGGCTGAGCACTCAGCCCATCCCACCCCTCCCCCTTCCCCACTTCCTCCTCCTCCTCTGCTCCCACCTCCCCACTCCCACCGACCAATAGCGGCTCTTTCAGCAGTTCCGCCACCCTCCCCTCAGGCACATTCGGTATAATCACGTTCTGCTCCACAGTCAGCCGAACCTCCCCCGAGCCGTACTCCTCGGCCAATCGGGCGAGCTCGTACAGGGTCGGCGGGTGAACCCGACCCACAGGCACGTGCAGACCCACATAGACCAGACCAGGCTGCTTCTGGGGATGCACCCCTAGGTAGGAGCGTCGGGACCAGGATGGATCAATCAGGGACTGGACTGTGGAGTTGGCAGTGGTGGTGCTGCTGCTGGTGGTACCATTGCTGCTGGGGGCACTGCTGCCGTTTCCGTTGGTGGTGGTGGCGAGATGAGGGGTGGAGCTGACACGTGGCAGGTGGCCATTGGGCATGCGCTTCTCAACCTCTGCTCGGAACACCTCCATGCCCTGGCGAGAGATGGGAGAGAGGACGAGGGAGCATAGGGCAGTGCGCTCAGTACGAGCTCCTGTAGAGAGGAAATTACCAGTTTAGTTTCTCTCAACTCAGTACGAGCTCCTCTCTATGGCATGCACCAGTTTAGTTTCCCTCGTTTCAGCTGCCTCATCAGATCTCCTCTCCGCTACTGCAAGCAAGCACTCACCAAGCCGTTTATAAGGCTACTCACCAGCTCCTCTATAAGCCTACTCACCAGATCCTCTATAAGGTACATCATCCTCGTCTTCTGCCGGTTGCTGCGGCTCCCAAGGTCCCGGAAAGCCTCCAGGACTGCCTTGCTGGCAGCCGCCACGTCAGCAGGCTGAGCTGGCACCCACGCGTCCATCGGAATCGCCTCCTCGCACCGCTTACTGCTGAAGAACCCCCCCACGTGCATCTCGAACCCCAGCTCCCCTTCCGAACCTCCATCCGAGGTTCGGCGGAGGGCCGGCATGAAGGCGAGATCGTTGATGTGGGGGTGTTCGAAGAGGTCGTGTGAACCAACCACACTGGCGTTCCACTTGCGCGGACTGCATTTGGTAGGAAGGAGGGGGGAAGGGGGGAGGGAAAGGGTGGTGGAGTTGGGAAACGGGAGAGTCAAGAGGACAGAATGGGGGAGGAGGGATGCTGGAAGAGGTCGTGTGAACCAACCACACTGGCGTTCCACTTGCGCGGACTGGACTGCATTTGGGGATAGAGGGAGGGGGGGCGGAAGCGGGGAAAAGGGGAGAGAGCCAGAATATTAGGTGTCCGAGCTTGCAAAACTGACACCACATATGGTTGAAACACTATCATCAGGCATATGCCTGCACCATCTCGAGGAATCTCAAGACCTGCGCGCATTTACGACGACAAGTAGGAAGCTTTTCACGCATTGTTTTCACTTGAGAATATGAACCGATTCTAAAAGGTAAGCACACTCACACAGACACACACACACACACACACACACACACACACGCACACTCACTCACTCACTCACTCATTCACTCACTCACTCACACACACACATACTCTCACTCACTCACACACGCACACACGCACACACACACATACTCTCACTCACACACACACTCACAGGTTGGACAGAGCCCAGTTGCCCTCCCCATTCCCCGTGATGACGTTGTCAATGGCCTGGCAGAAGGGGCGTGTGTCGATGATCTCTAGGGGGTGTGGCACTCACGGCTCTGTACAGTGTCAAACACATACTCTCACCCACACACACACTCACAGATACCAAGGCCGTGTTGCCCTCCCCATACCCCGTGATGACGTCATCAATGGCCTGGCAGAAGGGCCGCGAGTCGATGATCTCAAGGGGGTCTCTTCCCGCCAGTGGGTTGCCCATCACGTTGCGCGCAGACACCACCACAAATACTCAAACGCGCATTGTATCTCTACCGCTCACACACTCACTCACTCACAGATTCGACAGGGCGGTGTTGCCCGCCCCATGCCCGGTGATGACGTCATCGATGGCCTGGCAGAAGGGCCGCGTGTCGATGATCTCGAGGGGGTCGATCCCCGCCAGTGGGTTGCCCACCACGTTGCGCGCATTGTCCATTCCGCTCTGAATGAACCGGAGGTTGACCTGCCAGTGGGTGGGGATGGTGTGTGGAAGGGGAAGGGGGTGAGGGAACGATGGAGGGTATCAGCGGGTCAATCCCCGCCAGTGGGTTGCCCACCACGTTGGGCGCATTGTCCATTCCGCTCTGAATGAACCGCAGATTGACCTGATAAGAGGGAGAACGACACGCAGAGAGGTGGGGGGAAAAGGTACACTTGGGTGGAGGTAGTATGAGGAGCGTTCCCTGCCGCCTGGCGCCCGTTGTCCAGCAGTTCTGCTACGTCTTGATGTCAACCACCCCACTATGATACTATTCCACAAACTCTACTTTGTCAAACACTCCCTCCAACCCCTTTGCACCTCTCTGTACCCTTTTCAGCCCCTCGATAATCTCCTGTAGCGTCAATTCGCGGATATGCAAGTTCTGCCACGTCGTGATGTCCGCCACGCCCTCCTAGCCTACCCACTCCCACTCCTCCGCAACGCTCTGTACCTTGTTCAATCCCTCGATAATATCCGGCGTGTCCTGCAGTGTCACCCCGCGGATCTGCCAGTTCTGCCGCGTCGTGATGTCCGCCACGCCCTCCCCGCACTGTACCTTGTTCAACCCCTCAATGATGTCCGGCGTGTCCTGGAGAGTCACTCCGCGGATCTGCCAGTTCTGCCGCGTCGTGATGTCCGCCACGCCCTCCTCGCCGTAACGGCTGATGACGTCAGCAAGGAACCGCGTCTGCTCGCTCGTCGTGATGCCGTTGGGCAGCCGCAGTCGCATCATGAAGCGACCATCTGTGCCGGGAAGAGAAGGGGGAAACGGCGTGGGAAAGGGATGGGGGGAAGGGTAAGGGGGAGGAACCGCGTCTGCTCGCTCGTAATAATGCCGTTGGGCAGCCGCAGTCGCATCATGAATCGACCGTCTGTAACGGGGAAACGGAGGGCGAGTAGGAAAGGGGGAGGAGGGAGAATAGGGGCTTGCTTGCTGATACAATTGGGCAGCCGCAGTCGCATCATGAATCGACCGTCTGTTGCGAGAGGGAGGGGATGGAGGGGGAGACGTTGGGCGGGGGGAGGAGGAGGGGTGGTTGCCAGAGAAGGGTAGGAAGTTCAGGGAAACAGCCCCAAGTGCTTTGTTATAATCACGTAGTAGAATCTCGCGTGAAGTGGACTTCGGCTGCTCGAATTGCCGTGAGAGTCACACATATTGGGCTCACATTGCTGCTTGCGGCGATGAAACAGCCCCAGCCACTTGAACCGCGAGTCGATGTCATCTTTCGCCTCCTTACTCCCATCCACCTCTGCCATCGTCTTTAAAGCCAGCTCCCGAAGCGCCTTACCCCCCTCCGCGATCAGCGTCATCGGGTCCTTGGCAATCTTAATCTTCTCCGCGGGATTAAGACTGGTCCTATACTCCTCCTTTAGGACCCAATACCCATCGCGCTCCTCCACTCGTGGTACTAGCCGGACCGCATCTGGGACGCTGCCGGCTGCCGTCGACGGCTGTAGCACCGCAGGCGCTTCCTGGACGGCTGTCGCACCCGCTACAACCCCCGGACCGTCAGCAGCAGCAGCAGCGGCGGGAACCACGTCTCTAGGCTTGGAACCAGGCTTGGAGGCGCCAGGCTTGGCAGTATCTGCGGGGGAGGATTCCGCCGCAATGCGCAGCGGAAACGCCGGAAAATGCTTGCGGACGCGCGAGGGGTACGATGGTGCGCGGAAGAAGGAAGGGGAGGAGGCGACGCGGTGTGGAACCTGGATGTAGCTGCTGCTGCAGTGGAGTTCGGGCTTAGCCTGGCGGCTAGAGCTGCTGGTTCGGAACGCGACAGGAGTAGCGTTGGATGCGGCGAGGGTCGCGCTCTGAAACGCCATAATTTTCCCCAATGCGGGATTCGGTCAAGAGTGGTGCAAGGAAGGTAAGAACGATGGACACTCGAACGGTGGGATGCGAATCTGGCTGAAGTGAGCAGGGATGTTATCGTCGCAAGTTCGCTTCGTAAAAGTTGACTTTGGAGGCGACTCGTGAAAAGTATAGCTCGATGAGGGTCTCCGATGGTTGATTAATAGGCATCGCTAGCTCTACATAACAGTCTGCGTAAAACCGTATCTCTTCTTGTCGTTCAGGCGAAGGAACCCTGCGCCCGATTCGTCTACGACGGCCCGCCGGCCTATGCAAGCCCGGCTCCTCAATTGACCAATCCCGTGTCAGTAACCTGGCTCTGCGTGCGTGCAAAGTAGCCGCCATTTTTTGAATGGCCAGCGCTGGGCTCCTGGCAAGATCCGCATAGGTCTGGAGTCTCCTGATGGCCATGAGAGCTGCGTAATCTATCCTAAACACAGGTTTCTAGGCCGTGACCCGCTGGAGCTCGGAAACGAACCTTGGTTATTTCGACATTCGAACGGACAAGCTTTGTCTGCATAACCATTGGCTGCAATTACTATGCGGGGCGTATGGCAGTTCTGGGGAACAACAGTCCTACACGGCAGTGCTGTCGCCAGCACAGCTCCACGAAGCAACAATCTACCACAACCAGAGCTCTTCACGGAAAGGCGGCCAGTTGGCTCTTGGAAAATGCAAGAGCTTACACACGCCAGGGCTCGACAATGAGAGGGTCTGGCCGACTCGATTCTTGCCGATCGGGTTTGTGGTGGGGAAAGGGAATACAGCATCACGCCAGTGGCGCGGAGCATGACATCTGTGGCACTCACGCTTCAAGCCTAGGGAACATCACGAACAACACAAGTTCTGTACAGAACATAGACGTCGTTTAATACGGTGCAGTAATCTTCCTCGCATTAGCAAACGGTTTGCGGATTTCAGCGAGATGGAACATGAACCACTGAACGAAATAGGGCATAAAACAGAAAGAGGACGGCTGGGCTGGGATTGACCGTCAGGGAGTAGTTCGCGGGGCCAAGGGACGTCACCTGAGGCCCCTAGATGTACGTAAGAGGCGCGAAAGTTACGGATTGGTGCGCGCCTCGGTGAATCGTGACCCAGGTCATCCCGAAAGTAGCGACTGCTATCAGGCTGGAAGGTGTGATTGGTGAACATGTGGAGCCATTGAGCCAATCAGCAAAAGGCTGAGCATCTTGTAGCGGGAGATCCGTCGGTCCCGTTACGACGTATGGTTATACCAGGCACCTCTGTTCTTGTTCTGTATCTAATGTTATACAGGCTGAAGGCATCCTTCTTTCCACACCACATCTTGGCAGGCTTTGAATACCAAAACTCCTTTCCTGAGATGCGCCACTGTTGATTGAATGCCCAGTCAAGACTATCATTTGCCCATTCTGGTCGGACGGAAATAGCATTTCACATGACCTCCGAACCAAGAAACAGCTACACTGCGCATTTATCCAATACTTGTGTATTAATCTCCATCCATTACCAACACATCTCCTCGCAGTGTATCCGACAATGCTTCTTGAAGCCTAGTAACATGCTCTGCAATCACCATAATCTCAAGCTCAACTACACTGCCTTTTCCATCCTCACTTTCACAGTAACTTTCGGATAGCCTGTCAACCGAATATTCAGGCCGTTGAAGCTGGTCCCACGGCAACACATGCAGAAGAGAGAAAGGACAACAGATGTTTAGTGAGGTAAGACACAGTGCATATGTTTGGAAAAAGGGCTCTTCCACCAATGGTGCAACCAGAAATGCAGATGAATACAAGGGTAAAATGCCACAACAACTATATCTGAAACCTACCATCCATAGTATTCTAACACAAAATAAGTAGCAACATAGCGCACACGTTGTAATACAGTGCATCAGTATACCTACCACAGTGTAGAGAAGTCCAACGTGGTGCACTGGCGCAACAATCTTGACGGCCACCTGCCAGGAAAAAAAAGTGTCAAAACACTCGAGGAAACATGACTTTCAACTCTCTTTTTTTGTTCCCCATAAGCCACCTGCCAGGAGAGGAGAGAAACACATTGAAAGATACAAAGCAAAATGTCTGATGCAAGAATGGGACTCCCATACAGAGACAAGACACATTGACAAGAATCGCCTCACTCTCACGACATGCGCAATAAAGAATGCCCTAGGTTGATGCAAGCAAAACCATGCTTTCCACATTGATAAAAATCGCTTCACTCCCTTGAAGGTTCTGATGCAAGCAAAACCATTCTCTGCACTGCCAAGAAGATTGCAAATCTTTCTTCCCTTAGAATCTGACACTGCATGCATTCCTGAGTGACAAACCATAAAACCATTGAGTTGGTATCTCTAAGAGAAAAAAACCTGTCATCTCATGTTGTTTCTCACAATTTTCTCATAACACCTCTCATGGGAAGCTTATGACGCACATACCTGGATGAGCATGAGAGACAACCACACCACAGGGTTCTAATCAGAGAATTATCAAAAGTCATCTATTGCACTACACACACACATACCTGGGTGCGAGCGAGAAAAGCGCACCTTTCGTACGATTGGAACCAGGGTGGCTTCTCGCAGTGCTCCTGCTGCTGCCGCTGGTGCGACTTTTGAAAGCCTAAAACAAGATAACCGCACCTTTCGAACGATTGGAACCAGGGTGGCTTCTTGCAGTGCTCCTGCTGCTGCCGCTGGTGCGACTTTTGAAAGCCTAAAACAAGATAACCGCACCTTTCGTACGATTGGAACCAGGGTGGCTTCTCGCAGTGCTCCTGCTGCTGTCCCGCCATACGCCCTCACCAGACCGCCCGTTCCTAGCTTCACTCCCCCATAGTACCTTCACGTTGGGAATGGGGAAGAAATGGAACAAGGAAGGAGGCAAACTTTTGAGGCAAGGACCGCCTCAAAAGTAGAAAAAAAGGAGCGAGGAAGGAGGCATTCGGCAACATGGTGACTTTTGAGTCGATTCAAAAGTCACCTTGTTGGAAATGGGGGAAAAATGGAGCAAGGAAGGAGGCATTCGGCAACATCAGGCATTCTCCTTCCGAGGAATTTTAGTACTAGAGTAGTTAATTCCCCTCAATTGCCTTACTCAAGGAAAGCACCAACCAGGATGACCTGCGTTTGGCATTACTCACGCAGAGGTGTTACACTCTACCTGGTTACCTGGTTACCACCACCACGACACCATCCACCCCAGCCCCCTCAATAGCTGCCAAAATCGGCCGCCCGGCTGTTCCTCCCGGCTCCCCATCATCATTGAACCGATATGCTGGCGAAATCTGCATGGGGGATGAAAAACGGTGGGGGGGGATGGAAAACGGTGGGGGGGATGGAAAACGGTGGGCGGGGACAGCATAGCATCAGGCAGTACCAGCACAAAACAAGAAGGGCGACATAACCATTATTTCAGGCTTTAAGGTCGACTCAAAAGTCGTCACTTTCAGATGGAGGGTGTAGTTGAGTTTGCAGGAGCACCTTAGACGCCTAAACGCTAAAACCCGAAAGGACGCACCTTGTACGCCCAGCAGTTGTGACTGGCTGACGAATCCTTACCTGCAGGGGTGGGGCGAGGAGGGCACGGCAAGGAGGGGAGGGCAAGGAGGGGAGGGCATGGAGGGGAGGGCAAGGAGGGGAGGGCAAGGAGGGGAGGGCAAGGAGGGGAGGGCATGGAGGGGAGGGCAAGGAGGGGAGGGCAAGGAGGGGAGGGCATGGAGGGGAGGGCAAGGAGGGGAGGGCAAGCAAGAAGACTTTTGAGTCGACTGAAAAGTGAACCCCATCTTTTACGCCCAGCAGCTGTGACTGGCTGACGAATCCTTGACCTGCAGGGGTTGGGCGGGGCAGGACGGGTTGGCAAGTGAAGAAAGTGAGATTTTGACACGTTTCAACTTTCAAAAGCTCACTTGTTACGAAGCGACTCCTTTTAATCTCCGAGAGGAATGTAACGGGTGTGCTAATAGTGAAGGAAGGCGCGGAAGAGGCGGAGGAGGAGGGGGAGGCGCCAGCAGCGGCGGCGGCGGCGGCGGCGGCGGTGGGAGACGAGAAGGAAGGAAAGGAAGGAAAGGAGAAGCGATGATGGAAGGGTAACTGACGGACGAACTGACGGACGCGTTGAGTCGACTGACTAACGCCGCGCCAGAAAACAGAAGACGTCAGACTGACGTCATGCTTAAGAATCCTCGAGAATGGAACGGAATGAGCGTGATTTTGCCGGCTAGCCGACGGGAGGAGAGGGCAGAGCGCGAGAGGCAATGGCGGTGTGAATGGCGGTGTGGCCTGCAGGGTGAGATTTCGGCATGCGACGACCGGCGACGATTGCAGCCGAGCGCATGCGACGATGTGCGACCGACGCGACTGCGATGCTAGGGAATGCGACAGCGGCCTCGGACGAACGTATGCTGACGTCATTGTGCCTGGCATCACTCAAGCCAACGAGGCCTGAGTGAGGGAGCTATGAAGGAACTCGACTCCTCAACTCTCCATAACTAAGAGGCTAATAAAGGTGTGGACGGCTGGAAATTGCGGCCGTCGTTTGCGGCGAAGCAAGAATGACAGCCGTGGCAAAAACGCAATGGCTCTTCCAATGAGCTGAAGCATAAGGAGGGGAAGAAATTCACGCCAAGGCAGCTAAAGTGTTCCGTTGCCGGGACTTGAACCCGGGTCTTTCGGGTGAGAGCCGAATATCCTAACCGACTAGACTACAACGGATGTGGGATGATCATATAGAAAATAAAGTTGTAAATTTAAGTTTTTTGGATTAGATTACAGACTTTTTTCTTCTCTCATTCTAGCGCGCACAGCCACCATGAGCGGATCGGCGTCGCGCCACTTCCGCTCAGCCGCAGAGGCGTTGCGGCATTGCATCAGACGACCACACGCCGCCTCGTCTGTGCCTCGGCCTACTCCTGTCCCCGCTAGTGCCGTCCTCGCTACCAGACATCCTCACGAGCCCAGCATTTGCTCTACTATCGATCCCGCCCTACCCAGAACGAGCGCCTCCATTGGCCGCGGGTTTAGTGTCGGCGATGCATCTCCCGGTGACACGTGGCACCGATCCAACGGTTCATTTCATCATGGATTGACACCACCGTACCCAGTCGTTCCTGCAGCAATCGCCGCTCGAGCCGTATCATTCTACGCGATTCACTCATATCCCGCTGCCGCTGCTGCTTCTGCGCCTGCTGACGTGGCAGCGAGCGGCGCGAGCGGGGAGAAGGCGCAGCCGCCGGCTTCGACGCTGCTTCCGACGTCCGGCGCCCCGGTAGTGTCGCCGCTCGTTACAGGCACGTCGCCGCTGTCGCCCGCGTCGCCCACTGGTCGCACGGTTCGGGCCGTTCTCACAGGGCTCAAACAGGTACGGTGCGGTACAGTGTGGTACCGACGCGATCAGCAGGGACGTGCTTCTGAAGTCGAACCAGTAGAACGTGGCTGTGCGCGGTACTGTGTGGTACTGGCATTTATGGTAATACGGTGTCTTGATGCCTCAAAGATAGATTTCCCAACTTTCCGCTGTTTCCAGAAATCCAAGTTTCTGCAGACAGCAGCAGAATCGTCAATCTTGAAAGGGCACTCTAGACACACACTTCTCCCGTGTTCCCCCTTTCCACATCCTCCTCCTCCTCCTCCTTCCCCAAGGGTTCCAAGAAGGTCAATATCTGGTGGCGGCCATGGTGCTGGGGGGGATGACGCCAGATGATGCCTTGAGACCTCGAAATTAGACCCTCCAACTGACCTCCCCCCCTCCTCCCCCTTCCCCTGGCTGTTCACAGGGTCCCAAGAAGGTGAATCTGGTGGCGGCAATGGTGCGGGGGATGACGCGAGACCATTCCTTAAGATTCCTCCCCTTCCCATCCCACCTCCCTCCTTCGCCGATTTCCCGCTCTTTCATCCTCCTTCTCCCAGGGTCCCAAGAAGGTGAATTTGGTGGCGGCAATGGTGCGGGGGATGACGCCAGACGACGCGCTCATGCAGATGGCTGTCAGCACCAAGCGCGCTTCTAAAACCGTTGCCAAGGTAAGTTGTGCGCAAGCAAGGTGAGATGTGCGCAAGCAAGGTGAGATGTGCGCAAGCAAGGTGAGATGTGCGCAAGCAAGGTGAGATGTGCGCAAGCAAGGTGAGATGTGCGCAAGCAAGGTGAGATGTGCGCAAGCAAGGTGAGATGTGCGCAAGCAAGGTGAGATGTGCGCAAGCAAGGTGAGATGTGCGCAAGCAAGGTGAGATGTGCGCAAGCAAGGTGAGATGTGCGCAAGCAAGGTGAGATGTGCGCAAGCAAGGTGAGATGTGCGCAAGCAAGGTGAGATGTGCGCAAGCAAGGTGAAAGATGTGCGTAACGGTGGGAGGTGGGTAGGTGGGTTTCGACTCAGGTGAGGGTGGCATTCGCTTGCTCCTTAGTGCCGCCAACCAGAGGGCGATGCTCGCTGATGCGCTCATGGTGACTTTTGAGTCGACTCAAAAGTCACCTAGTTTCGACTCAGGTGAGGGTGGCATTCGCTTGCTCTCTAGTGTCACCAACCAGAGGGCGATACTCGCTGATGCGCTCATGCAAATGGGTAAGCGCACAGCACAGCCTTCTATTCTCCTGCATTCTTCTCTTTTGAGAATTCTGGCCAAGGAGAAAAAAATGCTGATCTGGCCACGCTAAGACCCTTCTATTCTCCTGCATTCTTCTCTTTTGAGAATTCTCAAAAACGAAAAAAATGATGATCAGGCCACACTAAGACCCTTTTATTCTCCTGCACTCTTCTCTTCCCTACTCTCCTCTTTCCCTTCTGCCCCTCTGACCCCCTGCAGGTAATCACAGCAGCCAAGGCCAACGCAGTGCACAACCATGGGCTGGAGGAGAAGAAGCTTATCATAGGTGAGCATGGAGGATGTGAGAGTGATGGGGATGGGTCTGGATGGGTTGCTTTGGGTCGACTAAAAGAACAACCATGGGCTGGAGGAGAAGAAGCTTATCATAGGTGAGGGAGAAAGGGATGTGCGGGTGTGAGTGTGGAGGGGGTGAGTGTGGAGGGGGTGAGTGTGGAGGGGGTGTGTGTGGAGGGGGTGAGTGTGGAGGGGGTGAGTGCGGAGGGGGTGTGTGCGGAGGGGGTGTGTGCGGAGGGGGTGTGTGCGGAGGGCTGCTTTTAAAGCCTTTCCCCTTTCCCCCCTTCTTCCCCCCTCTCCCCTCCCCCTCCCTTCCCCCTCCCCCCCTCCTCCTCTCTCCAACTGAAGCGTTCGTAGGCAAGGGGCGGTATCTGAAGCGGCTGAACCCGCATGGGAGGGGCCGGACGATATGCTGCCAGTCAAACCCCTTCCCTTGCCCTCACACGGTCTTACACTCTCTCTCTTCTCCCTTTTTTTCCCTCCCTCTCTCCCTTCTCTCCCCAGCGGAGGCCTTTGTAGGTAAGGGCCGGTACCTGAAGCGGCTGAACCCGCATGGGAGGGGGCGGTCGGGGGTGAAGCACCGCTACAGGAGCCGCCTCACTGTGGTGGTTCGGGAGATGAGCGGCCGTGAGGAGGAGCGCGTGCAGCAGCAGAGAGAGGCTGCGGCGAATCACAGGTGGTTGCGGCGCGTGCAGCGGAAGCGGGGGCAGATTGTGCCACATAAGGTGGTGGAGGTGGGGAGGAGAAGGGAGGAGGAAAGTGGGGCTGCTTGAAATGAGACGATTATGTTGGTTCGGTGAGATGGGAGGCGTTTGCGTTTGGATCAGCAGAGGGTCGGGTCGGGTTGGGTAGGAGGAAAGAGAAAGGATGCTAGGCTGGAAAATCATGTAAGCATTGCCTGCAATTGAACGCACTAGAGCTTGTTCAGGCCATTAATATGTGAGAAAACCCACTATGTGCTTCTCCCTTCCCATGCTTTTTGAATCGAAATTGCAAGTTAGAGTTGCAGTGCAGGTTAGTTGCGTAAACTAGTTAATTTACGTTTTCTGTACACCTAATCCTTTATGTCTGCAATAGTTTCTTTTAGAGGAGATGGAGATCCTGGAATTGTCAAGGTTGCGTGCGGTTCATTCGGATATCTTCTTGTTCACACCACCTTGAAATCTCCACGAGCAACTGCACTCCATCACTGGAGTTCACGTCGCGGCCTAACTTACCTAGCACTTAGGGTTGTCGTTTTGGTCTAACCATCTAGGCTCTCCTCATTGCTCGCAGTTTTTTCCCAAAGTTGTTCTTCATCCGAGGCTGTCCTAACATTTTTTTTTTCCTGTTAATTCTTATTTTGAGATACAAGTGAATGCCAGCTTCCACCAGAAAAGGACGACCTTGTGATCTGTCTGCAATCGTGCTGAGCAGTTAGTGCTGTTCCAGTGCCTCGTGTGTTCAGCTTCTATTGGGGACAGGCCCGTCATTAAGGAGTAGGCAGAAAGAAGCGGGCCGAATCATTTTTATCAGCTGAAATCTCAGGAGCAAGGGGAGCTTATAGCGCTGACAGGGAAGGTCACGCGGAAGCCATGGCGAAGCATCATCCGGATTTGATCATGTGTCGGAAGCAGCCGGGAATCGCGATTGGTCGCCTGTGCGAAAAGTGCGACGGAAAATGCGTCGTGTGCGATTCGTACGTGCGACCTTGCACGCTTGTTCGGATATGCGACGAGTGCAATTATGGGTCTTATCAGGTGAGCCAACCCTTTCCTGATTCCACTCAAATGCATCTTTTGATTTTTAGTGTCCTATCCCAGTTTGTCAGCTTCTCTTGATCCAAGGATGCCAGGTATGTTTGCTGGTGTTTGCTGGCAGTAATTTAAGCGTACAGGTCGTTGTAGGAGTAACTACAGTCTGTTTTGTGAGGAGAGTTGTAGCTCTCCTTGTTGGCTGGTGTTGCTTTCATCAAGCCACGTTTTCAGCATTTTATATCCGAGACAAACAAAGACGTAGATGACTGCAGCAACCCCAGTCCTCGCTCTCTACTCTCTCCCTTTTCCCCACCCTCGGCTCCCCCACTGTTCTTCACCCTCCTCCCACCTACCTCGTTTTGCCGTCTCTTTCTCTCCCAACCCCTTTCTGGAATGTGAGAGAGCAAGGCATATCAGACGCATATTACTGCAAGGAGTGCAGCAGCAATAGAAGGATCAAGACGGGTGTCCTAAGATCCATCTCAATCTCCCCTTTCCCTTTTCCCCTCCTGCTTCCGTCCCCCTTCCTGCCCTTTCATCCCTGTGTCTCCCTTACTGCATGTAGTGCACCCAGTTAAGCGTCCACAATTTTCCTCTTCACCCCTCCTTCTCTATCCCATCCTATCCCATACCTCCTATCTCTCCTTTCTCTCCCTTGTTGTTTCAAGGGCGTTGTGTGACATGCGGAAGGCAGGGTCAAACACATGTTACTGCAAGGAGTACAATCCACCTCTCTTTCCCCTACACCCTTGTCCCTCTCTCTTGCTTGATTTAGGGACAGTGTGTGAGGGCAGGGCATATCAGACGCATATTACTGTTAAGAGAGCATACAACAGGATTATACGCAGCCTCACGATTCCGTCTATCCCCATACCATCCCATGCAATCTCCTCTACTGGTTGTTTCAGGGTCGGTGTGTGATATGCGGAGGGCAAGGCATATCAGATGCATACTATTGCAAGGAGTGCACGCAGCAAGAGAAGGACCGAGACGGGTGTCCAAAGATCATTAACTTAGGTAGTGCTAGAACAGACCTGTTTTATGAAAGGAAAAAGTATGGCTTTAAACAGAGGGCATAAATTGCCCATTATCCTTGATAGTATCCTCCCAAATCTTTCAGCAATTGCAAATTATACCGTCTGAAGCCAATAGCTGTCCTTCAGCAATGTTCTTACTGATTATGAGCACAAAGAAAAACACCTTCATTTCCTTATAATGGGATCACAGTTAAAACCAGCAGCTAAAATAGTGACCTCCCCCTTCTAGTTGGGTCCACTAGAAAGCTCATGAAAGTTTCAGGGAAGTTTGGCGCTTTTTTTCTGAACAGGGCAAATCCCCGAGCGGATGCAATACCAATTTTGACTTGTTTCCAATCCCTGATCCAACCGATATAAAACGGTCGCAACATGTACAAATGTGTCGCAAGCTTGCTATGGCATTTCAACTTCTCCCCCCCATCCACATTCGCATCAAGCTCAACGCATGACTCGTAATCACGAAGGAACCTGCCAAATTCACATCTGCCACCACACACACAGCACACACACAAATTTTGAGCTAACGAATAACACAGAGCGATGCACTTGGGTAGGAAACAGAACAAAGACGAGGTGAGGCGAGAGGAGAGAGAGGGAGCGGGCGACGGGGATTGTGACCCTACTGGTGGGAGAGAGGGCGATAGGGATGGGAATGGTGATGTTGGTGTTAGAAAGAAAGTGTGTCCACGTTGATCCGATGCAAGAGTGAAAGAGTGACGACAAAGTGTCGGAAGAGAGAGGGAAGGCGACGGTGACGTCGACGGAAGGATGAGAGGCACGGGAGAGAGAGAGGGGAGAGCGACGGCGGTGACGGGAGCATTAGAGGAGCGGCTTGGGAGGGGAGGGGAGATCCTAAGTGAGACAGCGAGGGCGACAGGGGTGGGAGATCGCGGGCAACGGCAAAGGGATGGAATCGCGATGGCGACTGCAGATGGGAGATCACTACGAGATCGCGAGGGAGAAAGCGAGCTCGACGGGAGAAGGGGGGATTGCCGCGATCAGAAGTTGATCGTTCCCAGGATCTACTCGGGAAGGTTCGCACACAGAGAAAATGAAGTTGGTGGGCCCTTGACCTCAATAGCAGAGTGAATGTAAAATGCTTGAGATGAATAAAACATGCAAATACAGCAAATATAAATATGAGTACAGGGAAGACGAAACGTCCTAGCTAGCCATGTACTCTAAGGGGTACATTCCCTTATTCAAATTCATTCCCAACCGTGCGGCGCGTACAGTTACGAAACTGTTCCCGCCAAAGCCATCCTGCCTGCAGCTGTCCGATGCCATCTGCTCCGACGGTCCAGATGCGCCTTAACCGTCTGACGCTTCGAGTCAATTCTGACTCTTCGTGTTCGTTCTCGATACTGCATGCTTCCTTTGCTGCGGTGAGGAGTGCACAGTAATAATCAAATATTACCATTCGTAACACCCTCCTTTACTCCTGGCCGTAGCTCGACTTGACCTGTTTGACCACGCCGCTGAGTTCGGAGCAGTGCTGGTACTGCTGCCGTGGCAGTGGCTTGGTGAGGAGATCTGCCGCCATGTCACCGGTTGGGCAATAAGTCAAGTTGACCTTGCCCTTGTCCACCTCGTCCTTCACGAAGAAATACCGCAGCGCAATGTGCTTGGTGCGGTTGACGAAGCCAGGCTTGTTCGTGATCCGAATTGCGCTCTGGTTGTCGCAGTGAAGACGAAAGGTGGGCGAAGCTGGGATTTTCGCCTCCAGCAGGAGTTCCTGTAAGTAGAGTCCTTCGCGAACTGCTGCGGTTGCTGCGATGAATTCCGCTTCGGCTGATGACAGGGCAACCAGCTCCTGCTTCTGCGAGTTCCAGGAGATTGGTCCCGTTGGTTCGAGTCGGAACAGGAAGCCAGTCCTGGACCGTCGATTGTCGGGATCTGCTGCATGATCGGCATCCACGTAGCCGATGAGATTGAAGGATGGGGTTGGTGCAGTTGAGTAGCACAACCCAATCTTGGGCGTCGAGACGAAGAATTGCAGTGCGCGCTGCAGGTCCAGAAGATTCTCAGCCGTTGATTTACGTGAGTACTGGGCCAACTGGCTTGCGATGTAGGAGAGATCTGACCTGCATGTAACAGAGGCGAAGAGCAGGCATCCCAACTGCTGCTGGTAAGTATGAGTTCCAGCAGGGGATAGGGCTTTGTTGTCAGGTTTGTGGTTCGGTCCAGGGGTTCGGTAGGGAGTTGAGAGAGGTGCAGGTGAAATGTTGAACCTCTTCCCTAACTCCTCTGCGTACTTAGCCGCTGAGAGGTGAATGGCCTTAGGCGCGTAGGAGATGTTGAGGCCTAAGAACTGCTTCACCTCATAGTTGCATGTGATGTCGACGCGCCCCGCCAAGGCTTTCTCGAACTGCTCGAGTAGCTCATTGTTTGAGCCTGTGTAGAGCAAGTCGTCGACGTAAACCGTGAGAAGAATGTATTCGCCCAAGAAATCGCGGCGGTACATCCCTGGATCGTGCGGCATCTGCTTGAATCCGATTTCAAGCAGGATGTTGTGTAGATACTGCTGCCACAGCCTCGGCGCCTGCTTGATCCCGTAGAGTGACTTGCGCAGTTGGCACACGCGCGAGTCCCCTTCACCGTATGTATGCGGCTGCTCCACGTAAATCACGGCGTCTACTAGCGCGTATAAGAACGCGTTCTTGACGTCAATCTGGCGGAGCGGTAGGTGCCTTGCAGCTGCGATAGCGAGCAGGATTCGAACGGAGGTATGACGGCTGACTGGAGCAAACGTCTGGTCGAAGTCAATCCCGTGCCTCTGGTCGTAGCCGCGTACCACCCAGCGCGCCTTGAAGCGCTCGATCGTTCCGTCCGCTGCGGTCTTCACGCGGAAGACCCACTTGCCCGAGAGGATTCTTGCGCCTTTTTTTTATTGCCGCACGGTCGACTAACACCCAGGTGTCTCGGGACTCGAGCGCTTTAATCTCTGCGTCCATTGCCTCGCGCCACTCCTTGCTGTGTGGTCCAGAGAGAGCTTCGCGCGGGTTTCGAGGCTCGATGACACGTGGCGCTTTCGAGGTTGTAGTGTGTAGCCCGAGTAGCTGCAGACCTGAGACGGTGCTGTCGTGGCGCCGTTGTGGGATGACTTCCTGCACATCGTCATCATCGCTCTCTGGTTCAGGTGGCGCTGGTGATCCTGCGTTTCTGCCGCTTCCGCCTGTTCCGCCCATTCCTCCTGTTGGGGAATCGTCGTCGTCGTCGCTGCTGCGCCGATCCTCCCATGTGAACTCGCCTCTTGTATCCTGCTCCAGTATTGCTGCAGCGGCTTCGTCTTCGGGCGTTGCGTAGCTGTGCCCGTTGTTCGCGTAGACGCGATCCGCGTTTATTTCCTCGTCGTGACAGAATTGGTCGAGGAAGAGGCGCTCGTAGAAGATTACGTCGCGAGCGTGGGCGGTTTTTTTGACTGAGGAGGTCCAGTACGATCCATGCTTTGTACTCGTGGCTGATGCCGAGGTGGATTCCCCAGCGCGCGCGACTGGCGAATTTGCCGATGGTTGATGTCGGCGGGCGGTACTGCACCATGCACCCCCATACGCGGAGCATGGAGGTATCCCCCTTGGTCCCGGTCCATTTGACATGCGGGGAGAGGTTCCCGGTGATTGCGGTGGTTGAACGCAGGTTGTGCACCCGCACGGTGTGGTGCATCGCATAGGTCCAGTAGATCGGCGGCATCTTTGACTGCTTCATCAGCGCCCGCACCTTCGTCATCAGTGTGCGGTTCGTCCGCTCAGCTACGCCCTGCTGCTGATGTGCGTAGGGGAGAGAAATGTGATGCTCGATCCCCTTTTGCGCCAGGTAGCTCTGCATTTGATTGCTCCTAAACTCCGCTGCGCCGTCGGATTGCCAGATTTTTAGCTTCTTCCCGGATTGACGCTGCGCATGCGCCAACCAGAGGCGGAACACCTCGTAAGCTCTGTCGCGGGTCTCCACATTTGCGACCCATACGTAGCGCGTTCCAGCGTCGATGAAGGTAAGTGTGTACAGCTCGTCGTCGACTCCGCAATGCCCCACGTTGAGAAAATCGCTGTACACTTTGTGCAGCTTGGGGTAGCAGTTCTTTCCTGGCTCGAGCAACGGGAACGGCTGGTGACTTAATGCAGCTTCGGGGCAGACGGTGCAGTTGCGCGGATGTGTCGCGCCTCTCACTTCGGTGCCGTCGGGGTGTAGCAATGCTCCTGGGGCAAAGACTCCGGCGTCGATGCAGTTCTTCAACGTCGCGTGTGAAGGGTGTCCGAGGCGCTGGTGCCAAAGTGCATCGTCGGCGCGAAAGCCGGAGGTGCGCATGTAGCGCGCGCGGGCTTCCTCAGGGTCTTCATCAGGTACGGGAGCAGGTTCTGCTGCTGCTTCCTCTGCATCTTCTTCTTCTGCCGCGGTAGTCAGCATCAGCGCCAGAAACTCTCTGTCACGAATCTCGGAGAGTGGAATGTTGGTCCCGGGAATAATTCCGGGCACGAGAGTTGGTCCGCGCGGTTCGGGAGCAGGTCCGTAGACGGTGCGGCGTGGAGTTGATGGTTCGTTGCCCCAGCGGATAGTGTCCCAGGGATCGCGGTGCGGCGGAATGTCAGGGGCGGGGGACGCGAGTGGGATATGACGCGGGGGACGCCCGAGGGGAACAACTGCAGATTCTCCCCCCTTTTGTTCTTTGCGGGAAGTCCCCCAGCCTCCAGCAGAGGCGCCCCAGCCGCTCGTTTCGCCGCCAGATGCGGTGCCCCATCCGCTAGTATCGGCCGTTCCCCTTCCGCCGGCGCTCCCCCACCCCCCTTCATTGGAGGCGCTTTCTTCTGCTTCGGCGCCCCATGCGGCGCAAGCGAATGTTCCGCGTGCTTCGACGAGGCTCTGTTGGCGAAGCTCTTCTGCTTCGCGGCGCGCCAATTCTTCCTCCTGTTCCACGGTGAGTTTTGCCGTGGGGTCGCGCCAATGGGGGTAAATCTGTAGAAAGTCTTCCTCGCGGGTGTAGGGGCGTGGCACGCCACGCGCCTCGAAGGTGCCGACGCCAGTTCCTCGCAGCATCCCTTGAAGGTGTT